AACCAATCTGGCAAATTTCAATTTCAAATGTAACGTGCTATATTTGACCCTGTAACTTCCCAAAACGCCATAAAACCTGTACATAGGGGGTACTGTCTTACACGTGAGACTTTACTGAATATAAATATGTGTATTTTATTGCAGTAAAAGCAAACAGTATTATGACATTGACCGTTAAAATGTCATGTAGAACTAAAAAAATCCAAAAAAAAACGTATTTTCTCCCATTTTTTTCATATTAAATTATGTTTCATAGCTAAATATTTGATATTAAATGAAAGCCCTGTTTCCCCTGAATAAAATGATATATAATAAGGGTGGGTGCATTTACTATGAAAGAGGTGTATTACGGTTGGACAGACATGTAGCGCAAATGCCAGGTTTTGTTTACATTTTGTTTTGTTCACAATGTGTACATTTGGCTCCATCCTTAAGGGGTTAACATTAGGTATTTCTAAACTAAGGACAACATTTAGAAACTATTTAGCCTGGGAGTTTTTTTTTTGGCAGTTATAGATGCACACAGATTTTGGGGGTCAAAGTTAGAAAAAGTGTGTTTAAAAAAAAAAAAAATTCATCATATTTTATAATTTTTTATAGTAAATTATACGATATGATGAAAATAACAGCATTTTTAGAAAGACCATTTAATGGTGAGAAAAACGATATATAATATGTGTGGGTACAGTAAATGAGTAAGAGGAAAATTACAGCTAAACACAAACACAGCAAAAATGAAAAAAAAGCCCTGGTCCCAAACGGTAAGAAAATGGAAAAGCGGTCTTGTCACTAAGGGGTTAAATATAAGGCTTTTTTTTCCATGTGTGCAACGTAAGTTATTTCTGACTCCTATCATATTGACATTGTAAGGCAATCTAATTGTCAATGAGAACTCTTGAATCACATGTTTCCTTTTCAATAGATAACTAACCTCAGGCCATCTCAATGCTTGAACTCCACACCCATCCCATTATTTATTAATCCAGTTATGTGGTTTGGGGGAGTAGTTTTCATTAGCAAAATTGCATTTATTAAATGTATGTTTACTTGTTATCTACTCTTAGGATGCCTACATAGAAGGAAAAAAATGTAAACAAGTGTCATAGCATGCTATTATTTTAGAATTGTGGAAAATACTGACATCACAAACACATCCTGTTAATACCATAAAATGATTCTTACCACTCCTATAGGATTATTGGGAATTGTAGAGAATTGACAAGGGGATTGCAGATTTTAGCCCAAAATAGATTTTTTAGTTTCTTGGTAGCTAAGTCTAAAATGTGCTACACAATTCATAGTTTACTAAATATACTTGCTACAGTACACAGTTTGCTAATTCAGTCCTTAATTATATTTTTTCATTTGCATGTTGTTGAGCAGAATAAATGTAAGTTCAACAGTTCAGGTTAGACTGGGCAAGTCACATATTATACAGGTGTTATTGCCAGCCTGGAACTGGTTTGAATTATTTTTATCAGATCCCAGAGGCACAACAACTGAGAGGAATAAAATTATGTTTAATATAGCGGAGATTAGGCGAGTGTGCGACAGCATTTAATATGCTTACTACTTACAGTGAGGGGGACTATGTGGAAAACGCATGAATCACCTGTCTAGCTTACTTAGATCAGTGATTTTTTAAAGAAACACTCCATGTACCATAACAACTTCACCATTAAGTACCTTTCTCACACAGTTTTCTCAAAGGAAAGCTAGTATCAGCTGCCGCTCTCAGCCTATCACTGGGGCCTAGTCTGAAGCTTCTTCATGGACGACAGGCACCATCTGCACAGCTCTGGGGTTAAACTGTTTGCAAACGGTTTCACTCCTTATTTAAGTTGGCGCCCAGGACCTTCAGGCATCATAACAACTATATTAACTATAACCACTATAGATCAGTGCATTATCAATGTCAGTTATGTGTAGTCTGTTTGGAGGTGATTGGGTGATAATGCTGGGAGCAGGTTAGCCAAGTGCTCACATCCTATTATAGCTGTACAACAGCTGTACAGGTTTTAAAGAAATTGATACTGATAATAAGGATTTATATACTCTGCAACATCAATGCAGCTAGGGAAGTGATGGTCATTTTGGAACTCTGGAGATCCCTGATTTTTGTCAAAGATCTGCCAAATTGTTAGGCAAAAAATAATTAGACTCTTCCACCTTTTAAATTCTCAAAGCTTTCTCTGTGTGTCTTTTATTATTGCAGTGTTAACATTTCAAAGGCATGAAGGAGGTTCTAGTCCATATATCCTTATATATTTTTATCTCCATGAATTGTCCCCCTATGTCTCAGTGTGCGTATGATTGTAGCAGTGTGTCCATGATTCTCTCAGTGTGCCCATGATAGTAGCAGTGTGTCCATGATTCTCTCAGTGTGCCCATGATAGTAGCAGTGTGCCCATGATAGTAGAGTGTGCCCATGATTGTAGCAGTGTGCCCATGATTGTAGCAGTGTGTCCATGATTCTCTCAGTGTGCCCATGATAGTAGCAGTGTGCCCATGATTGTAGCAGTGTGCCCATGATTGTAGCATTGTGTCCATGATTGTAGAAGTTTCCCCATGATTGTCTCAGTGTGCCCATTATTGTCTCAGTGTATCCATGATTGTAGCAGTGTGCCCATGATTGTAGCAGTGTGTCCAAGATTGTCTCAGTGCGTCCATGATTGTAGCAGTGTGCCCATGATTGTATCAGTGTGTCCATGATTGTAGCAGTTTGCCCATGATTGTATCAGTGTGTCCATGATTGTAGCAGTTTGCCCATGATTGTAGCAGTGTGCCCATGATTGTAGCATTTTGTCCATGATTGTATCAGTGTGTCCATGATTGTCTCAGTGTATCCATGATTGTAGCAGCGTGTCCATGATTGTAGCAGCGTGTCCATGATTGTATCAGTATGCCAATGATTGTATCAAGTTGTCCATGATTGTCTCAGTGTGCCCATGATAGTAGAGTGTGCCCATGATTGTAGCAGTGTGCCCATGATTGTAGCAGTGTGTCCATGATTCTCTCAGTGTGCCCATGATAGTAGCAGTGTGCCCATGATTGTAGCAGTGTGCCCATGATTGTAGCATTGTGTCCATGATTGTAGAAGTTTCCCCATGATTGTCTCAGTGTGCCCATTATTGTCTCAGTGTATCCATGATTATAGCAGTGTGTCCATGATTGTAGAAGCGTGTCCATAATTGTATCAGTATGCGCATGATTGTAGCAGTGTGCCCATGATTGTATCAGTATGCGCCTGATTGTAGCAGTGTGTCCATGATTGTTTCTGTGTGCCCCTGATTGTATCAGTGTGCCCCTGATTGTAGCAGTGTGTCCATGGTTGTAGAAGTGTGTCCATGATTGTATCAGTATGCGCATGATTGTAGCAGTGTGTCCATGATTGTAGAAGCATGTCCATGATTGTATCAGTATGCGCATGATTGTAGCAGTGTGTCCATGATTGTATCAGTATGCGCATGATTGTAGCAGTGTGTCCATGATTGTTTCTGTGTGCCCCTGATTGTATCAGTGTGCCCATGATTGTAGCAGTGTGTCCATGGTTGTAGAAGCGTGTCCATGATTGTATCAGTATGCGCATGATTGTAGCAGTGTGTCCATGATTGTAGAAGCGTGTCCATGATTGAATCAGTATGCGCATGATTGTAGCAGTGTGTCCATGATTGTATCAGTATGCGCATGATTGTAGCAGTGTGTCCATGATTGTAGCAGTGTGTCCATGATTGTAGTAGTGTGTCCATGATTGTTTCTGTGTGCCCCTGATTGTATCAGTGTGCCCATAATTGTAACAGTGTGCCCATGATTGTAGCAGTGTGTCCAAGATTGTCTCAGTGTGCCCATGATTGTAGCAGTGTGTCCATGATTGTTTCAGTGTGTCCATGATTGTAACAGTGTGCCCATGATTGTAGCAGCGTGTCCATGATTGTAGCAGTTTGCCCATGATTGTCTTAGTGTGCCCATGATTGTAGCATTGTGTCCATGATTGTAGCAGTGTGTCCATGATTGTAGCAGTTGCCCCATGATTGTAGCAGTGTGTCCATGATTATAGCAGTTTCCCCATGATTGTCTCAGTGTGCCCATTATTGCCTCAGTGTATCCATGATTATAGCAGTGTGTCCATGATTGTAGCAGTGTGTCCATGATTGTAGCAGTGTGCCCATGATTGTAGCAGTGTGTCCATGATTGTCTCAGTGTGTCCATGATTGTAGCAGTGTGTCCATGATTGTCTCAGTGTGTCCATGATTGTAGCAGTGTGTCCATGATTGTCTCAGTGTGTCCATGATTGTAGCAGTGTGCCCATGATTGTATCAGTGTGTCCATGATTGTAGCAGTTTGCCCATGATTGTATCAGTGTGTCCATGATTGTAGCAGTTTGCCCATGATTGTAGCAGTGTGCCCATGATTGTAGCATTTTGTCCATGATTGTATCAGTGTGTCCATGATTGTCTCAGTGTATCCATGATTGTAGCAGCGTGTCCATGATTGTAGCAGCGTGTCCATGATTGTATCAGTATGCCAATGATTGTATCAAGTTGTCTATGATTGTCTCAGTGTGCCCATGATTGTAGCAGTGTGTCAATGATTGTCTCGGTGTGCCCATGATTGTAGCAGTGTGTCCATGATTGTTTCAGTGTGTCCATGATTGTTTCAGTGTGTCCATGATTGTAGCAGTGTTCCCATGATTGTAGCAATTTCCCCATTATTGTCTCAGTGTATCCACAATTGTCTCAGTGTATCCATGATTGTCTCAGTGTGCCCATGATTGTAGCAGTATGTGTCCATGATTGTAGCAGTATGTGTCCATGATTGCCTCAATGTATCCATGATTGTCTCAGTGTATCCACGATTGTATCAGTGTGTCCACGAGTGTCTCATGATTGTAGCAGTATGTGCCCACGATTGTATGTGCTCCTGGATGGCAGCATTCTAGAACAGCTGCTGTACTTGTCCAATAGGAGAAGGAGCTGAGGGCTGAAGCTCAGCATCCATAGAAGGAGGAGCAGCAGGCTGTCATAGGGAGCAGAGCAAACACAGGCAGACAGCAGCAGCAGGCAGTGACAGTGATACACGGGAGGAGGGAGAGGAAACCAATGAATATACAGATCTAGGTCCAGGGATTAGACAGTCAGTTATTGTGATTAAGATTATCAGCAGCTAAAGGAGGTCACAATAGATGTATGTGCTGGAGAGGCAGGATTAGCTGTCTGTAGGTGGGTTTAGGGAAGCTGCAGTCTCCATCTCTCAGTGACACAGACAGACAGACAGACAGGTAAGGTAGGTAGGTGTCCAGGCAGAGGAGGTTGCAATGCCGGCTGATGTATGGCGAGCTGCCTGCTGGCTGATGCTGGTGCTGGGCTGCTGGTCCCTGTCTTCTTCCTCCGAGGCGACCGGCAGGAGGAGGAGGCTGAGCCGTGAGCCCGGGGGGATCTCCTTCGAGTATCACCGCTACCGGGAGCTGCGGGAGGCGCTGGTGTCCGTGTGGCTGCAATGTCCGTCCATCAGCAGGCTGTACACGGCGGGCCAGAGCTACGAGGGCCGCCTGCTGCTGGTCATAGAGATATCTGACAACCCTGGACAGCATGAACCTGGTGAGTGTGACACAGAGACCCGGACACACAATGACAAACAATCACACTGAGTGACACACAAACACAGCGACACGATCATACATAGACACACAGCTATAGACAAAGGCAAGCTGCCACTGCACAGTGATACAAAACGACAAGCTGCTATATATAAGCACAGGCACAAACAGGCAGATAAAATAAACCATGACAATATGGCATACACAATGACAATATAGCATACACAATGACAAGATGCTGTACACAGTGATACACAATGGCAAGGTGTTAAGCACTGCAATACATAATGTGCACAGTCATAAAAATACCAATCTGCTGTGCACATTAATACACAATTAAAAACTGATGTACAGTGATACACAACTGGAAGAATTTACACACAGTAACACACAATGGCAGGTTGCTGTACACCATAATAGCACACTGAATTGCTATATACAGTAGTACATTATGGCAAGCTGCTGCACACAGTAATGCACATGTATTAGTTGCTGAATAACCTGATACAAAATGGCAAGCCATTATCCACAGTGACACACAATGGCTAGCTGCTGTACTTAATAACACAAAATGGCAGGCTAAACATGTTCAGATGTGTACAACCTCATATAATCACTAAACATGGTAAAAGGACAATGAGCACACACAGGTTACAGGAGGAAAATTAAATGCAGTAGTTTGCAGTGTTTTAGTGAATTGTAAAGCAGGATGGTATAGCATTCCCAGTGACAGGAATTATACACATGGATGAGTGGATTTGGGATGTACAGACATTACATGCACAGAAATAAAGTCCTTTAAAATAGTATTTACAGTGTCAACAGCAAAATAACATATTCAACAAAATCCACTGAGGACAATGGAGTCACAGGAATATAAATGTCAAATGCTGCCCACTGACTACAAATGTGAGTATAAGTCAGGCCAAGTAATACCAAGTAATATGTAGTGATGTTTGGCAATTCTGATTCTCCGTAAAAAAACGTGCGTATTAATGTAAAATCAGACAGAGAGATGGTGAAACCACATAAAGAGCTTCAAGTACTTGCCTGGGGCCAATGACATCCCCCGTCTGAGGGGGAAGGAGTGAGACCTGTGAAATCGTGAGAATATTGTTGTACAGTATTTGTAAAGAAACAAACATCTTAACATTGCTCTAGCAATAGCCATATAATATACATCATAACACGAGTAAGATATAAACAAATATATAAATAAATATGCATACAACATTTTATCAATTGGCTGCAACTTTTATTTGGGCTTTATCAATTATAATAATTAATATAGTTTAGTGAATAATCCCATATATTGCCAGGTACAATTTTACATTTAAACATGTGCTTTAGACACCAAAATCAGTCTAGTGCCAGGCACAAGTAAGAACAGATATTAAACAAATACTTGAGAGTCCAGTTTCTAAGTGTTTAGATGTACTAGATTTTTGTACCAAAAGTAATATAAATGTAAACCCTGGAGAGGTGCAGATATAAATGAACGGCCCATGTTTATGTCTCACACTGTCCTTGAGCTTATTATTATAATTTATAAATAAATTACATATTCCACAGGGCTATATAACGGATAAACTTGCTTTTGACCATTGTATTCCCTCCATCCTCTTCTAATTTCCAACTTTACACCCAATCTGCCTCTCACTACATTCTCACCTCTCATTTTGTAATTTGCCTTACTTACATGCTTTTTTTTCTACACTTTTTCTTTTCTCCTTACTAAAATATTTTCTCTTTACCACCTCCTCGTAACACCATCTGTGTCGCTCCCTCCTTACGTCAACCCATGAACTTTTTTTTTACACAGATATTCCCTTTCTCCACCCGCTTTCTCCATCCTCAAAAGTTAAACCCTAGCATTTACTACATTGATTTAAATGCTATTTGTACCTTCTCCTACTACCCATCCTTCTGCTCCTGGCAATCAGTGATATCTCCCCAAACCCTGTATACGGCCCTCTGACTCCATTGCACTAGCCCTAGAAATCCAGCCAATGCTATATCCATTCCATATGACTCTACTCTACTCCTCTTTTTGACATGTTGTCTGGAATTAATGCTTAGAATGCAATATCCCAAAATCAACAGTTATCCATGACTTTTTTTAAATCTCACATAACCTCATTTTACTGGTATTAACTGAAACCTAGCTCTCTATTTCGGATACTGCTACCTCTGCCTAATTATCCTTTGTATGCCTTCTGTTAACTCACACTCCAAAACTATGTGGCAGGTTAAGATTTTTTCCTTCCTAATATGGTCCTTCAAACTACAGCCCCCCCTCCCCTTCCTTCACTTTCTCCTCATTTTAAGTCCACCCCATGCCCGAGGTAAAACCAATCTCTGCTCACATTGCTGTTACATATTACCTCCATGGTTTGCATCTCCCTTTCTCCAACCATTTCTCTGCTGGGCTTCCCCCTTCCTTTCTTGTAAAATTGCTTTACTCATCCTTGGGGACTTTAATATTCCAACTACCCACCTTTTAGCCCATCTGTATTTTCTTCTGTCCAATATTGGTAATCTCTATGTAAATCTCTTCCATCACTGCTGTCCTGGACAAGGTAACCTTACTCAAAGCCATATAACTAAACACAATCCTCTTCCTTGATAACTAATTATATTTATCATCCATCATGCTCATAATTTCAAGCAGATGTTTGATACATTCAACACCTACTTTTCCCAGCCATCACCCCTCATTATATTAAACCTTACAGCTAACAACTGTGGTTATTTTACTAACAAGATTTACCAATTAAAGGACCACTATAGTGCCAGGAAAACATACTCGTTTTCCTGGCACTATAGTGCCCTGAGGGTGCCCCCAGCCTCAGGGTCCCCCTCCTGCCCGGCTCTGGAAAGGGGAAAGGGGTAAAAACTTACCTTTTTCCAGTGCTGGGCAGAGAGCTCTCCTCCTCCAATCCTCCTTCTCTCCTCCCCGTCGGCTGAATGCGCACGCGCGGCAAGAGCTGCGCGCGCATTCAGCCGGTCACATAGGAAAGCATTCATAATGCTTTCCTATGGACGCTGGCGTGCTCTCACTGTGGAAATAAGGGAAGGCTTAACCCATTCATAAACATAGCAGTTTCTCTGAAACTGCTATGTTTATGAAAAAATGGGTTAACCCTAGCTGGACCTGGCACCCAGACCACTTCATTAAGCTGAAGTGGTCTGGGTGCCTAGAGTGGTCCTTTAAGAAAAAAAAATCCCCCCCACCCCCACTTCTCTATCTCATCCAGACATCAACCATGCTTCATCTATTCTTTGGATCTTCACCCCAGTAACAGGAGCTGTCTGTATGTCTCCTTTCTTCTTATCCCTCCATCTGTTCCCATTTCCTCTCATCGGATCTCTTGTCCCTGGCCTCTACCATCCAGGTATATCTTTCTTCTGGTGTTGCCCCACAACCCTTAGATATGGTACTTTCAATTATATCCTAAAAAGCCAACTCTCAACCCAACTTCACCATCTAACTACCACCCTGTATGCGTACTTCCTTTTCCCACAGAGCTTTTGGAATGACTTGTCTATACCTGACTGATTTCTTTTCTTGACCCTCTCCTTGATTCTCATCAATCCAGCTTCCATCCTCAGCATTTTACTGAAGCTGCTCTAACTAAAGTGTCTAATTGTATAATTGTAATTAAATACAAAAGCCACTACACCATGCAAATGCTCTTAGACCTGTCTGCTACGTTTGACACAGCTGACTCACTTGACTCTCCTTCTCCAAATCCTTCACACCCTTGGTCTTCGTGACACTGTCCTTTTCTGGTTCTCATCCCATCTCTCCTTACACTCTTTCAGTATATAATTTTCTGTTAACATCACTCGCCCTCCTTACCTCAACTTATCTCCATGGAAGTCCCTCAAAGCTCTGTCCTTGTCCATTTTCTGTTTTCTCTGTATACTCTCTTGGCAAACTTATTAGTTCCTTTTGATACCAGTACCAGGGCTGAATTTTCCATTAGACAGGGTAGGCACGTGTCTACAAGGGCCTGTCCTAAACAAGTACCTTGTTTCTGAAGTTATAATATGCCTTTTGATGGGCACAGGCAGGTGCCAGGATCCTTGACCAGTGTCCTCGGAAGTCCACCGTGCTTCCTATTTTTGATATCAGAGCTACAGGAACACTTATAGAGGGTGCAAAACCCAGTGTTGTCCCAGTGTTTGTCTATAAGGCTGGACAGGAAGTAGAAGAACAACAGAATACATAGGAGGGTAAATACTTTGCAAATAACCTATCAAACACCCCATGTACTCCAATTCTAAAATACTAAATGAACCCCACACTAACCCTAACCGCTATAATTCTAAACACTCCTTCCTTATACAACAAATATAACCCCTCTCAAACTTTCAATCATCTAACACTAAAAATGCTATATAATATAATTTGGATGTTACCTCCTCTCAAATCTTAAGCCCTTTACTCTAATCACTTTTAAAATAATCTTTAACCATGCATGCATTTAAAATTGGGTTGCTGTGGTGGGTGGGGGGGGGGGTGGTAAAGGGGGCAGGTCAGTGATGCACTTTCATCATCGGCTCCACCCCCTTTACTGTCAGTAGCCTGAGGTGGCTAATAACTACCTCTAAAACTGTAGTTCAACAGCCAACTGAAAGCAAGCAGCTAGCTCAGTTATCTTGAACCATATTTGAATTAAAACTGAATAAAATCATGAAAAGTTGCATATTAATGGATATAATCACTAAATAGCGTATTATCAGCTAATAACCAATGATGAAACATTTTTATTAAAATAGGCGAGTTGATTTTTTTTTTTTATACCACAACTTTCTGGTGAGTTTATACACCGTTAACAATATTGTTTCTTTATATTGTGTTTTATAAACCATATAGCAGTGACGTAGCGTTTAATAGTCGTAGCTGGATAAATATCAATGAACTATAATCCTAATCTTGCATAGATAATATGTGTTTCAACAAAAATCACTGTAGTCTTATCATGGTTTCACGTTAAAAATTTTGAGAAACACAATGGTATACCTTCACAGACCATAGGAAACAACAAATGCCATCTCTTTCACAGTCTAAAAAAGCCATACCCACACAAAATCAACACATTGCTCAACACTCCTTTAACTGAAATCACAAAACTCCTCTATTATTACAACCACCCACGGATCTATAAAAAAAACAAGGTGTAACTAATGCCATCTCCACAAAAAAATAATATATTTTTTATTTTTTTCACATTTTTTTCCACTCTCTTAACTTAAGCCATGATTTAATTTGTTTAAATCAGGTTGAGAAATTATTCCATTCTGTTAGAAAAAAACTTTTAGAATGATTTATCAACATAATTTCACATATACTTTAATGGTGACCTCTGTAGATAAATTTGACATTTTCTTCCTAACATTATTGAATAATTTCTGATTCAGATTCAAACAAATTAAATCAAAGCCTTGGGCCTCAGTTTAATTCTTTTCGATAAGCTTTTCAAATGATCATAATCTATTAAAAAACTGTTTCAGTTTATTTATGTCAGGAAGTCACCATTGAAGTCTATGGAAATTTTTGTAGAGAGATTATTTGAAATGTTTTTTCTAATAATAATGTGATCATATAAAAAGTTTATCCACAATAATTATCTTAAGGCCCCTAAGCTGTATGAGGTTTCCACAAATGATCCATTAATAAATTAGGTAATAATTATTACAAAACAGGGTCAAGTATGCAAATACATGTAATATAGGCCTCAATTGAATCATTTTGGCTGAGCTTTTCAAATTGTTTAAAATTTTTGTAAAATTTGCCAAATTGACATAAGCACAAGAGTTGACATATGAGTTATGCAAAGTGCCAAATGATGCACTTTGGGGTGCAACTACCCAAAATGGTAGAGTTAGAGAAAACAGCACTTGAAAATGATTTTGGAATAGTAATATGCATTAAATTAGGCAACAATGCCCAAAGTCAATTTGCAGTTACTTAGTAGGGTATTGTTATGCAAAAAGTTTCCCTGGATAAAAATATAATTTTGCCTCTTTATAAATCAATGGTAAGACCACATGTTGAGTAAGCTGAACAATTTTGGCCACCTGTTCTTACGGCACTGGAAAAAGTTCAGAGGTGAGCTACAAAATTAATGTGGGGAATGGAAGAGCTGACTTACACAGAAAAACTAACAAATTTAAATCTTTTCACTTTAGAAATATAAAAAAAATATTTTAAAAATTCTATTAACATTATAGAAATATATTCTGCAAATGCAAACCATTATCTAGAAATCTATTAATTATATATTACTTACGGAGAAAGACTAACACATCTAAATCTTTTCACTTTAGAAAAAGATTATGTTAAAAAGATTATGATAACATTATAGAAATATTTTCCAGGCCAATGCAAACCATTATCTAGATTTCTTTTTATTAATATGACTATAAGTAGGATACAAGGTCACCCATTCAGACTGGAACAAAGGCAATTTAGTGTAAGGCAAAGGAAAGGGTTTTTGGCAGTAAAAACAATCAGGATGTTGAATTCTCTGCCTGTAGAGGTGATTTTATGAGAGCTTGTTCAGATTTTTACACAACGACTGGATGAAATCTGCAAAAACATAATATTCATGAATATAAAATTTAACATGTAAGGTAACAGCGTCATGATCCGAGGAGAGATCTGGCTGCCATTCTGACGTGGGACGGGATTTTTTTCCTAGTTTGTTGCAAAATTGGAAAGTGCTTCAAACTGTGTTTTTGACTTCTTTTCAATCATCAGCAGAAACAGATATGAGATATGTACTTGATGGATGCACATCTTTTTACAGCCTATGTTACTATGTCTACTAAATTGGAAACTATTTACTGTGCCTAATGGTGTGTATCCTGTCATCATGTCATACACTGCACATCCGTTTGGCACTTATCACATTAATACAGCATAATATAATAGTTTAATTTGGACAGGTTTGGTCCATCTATCGTTTCTGCAGTCTGTATCTCTGTTGCACTTTGTGAATATTTACTGTTGTCAAGAATTCAAGTAAATTTAAATAAAATATGTCTGCTAGGAAAAAAAAGTCTAGTGAATGGTTCCTACTTAACATAAAAAGTAAAAAGAAAAAAAAAGGAAGAATTCTTGTTATTAGAGATGTACCAATGGGATGACCAATTCTTAAAAAACCAGCACAGAGGTCTATACGTTCTCTAGTAACATGAAAGGCATTGCAAACAATATGCTCTCCTTTATGTAATGAAATAGTAACAATATAAAATAACATCACACAGTTCCCAAAAGTTCTGGACCATTAGCCAAAAGACCATGGGATGACTAATCATTTGCACCTGCAATGCCACTCTCCATGCCCCCTTTATACATATGTCTGGGTGTAACGGTCCCTTGGTTGTTAATAAGTGGCAGTTAGGGTTGTCCCTTGACCAATATTCTACAATTCTTATTCTACAAAATCATTTTTACAATTATAATTTAGCTGTTGTATATTTGCATCTATTAAATTCAATCCTTGAACAATGTATCCTATTAAAGCACATAATGCCTATGCCCTAATCCTTTAGTACATTAGAAATGGGTCCAGTACATCATGACAGTGCTGAGTTACAGGTGAACCTACTTATATGGTCATACAATCCATTAGATACCTTACACAAACTTGTTATTATGTACACTGACAAAGTAATCTCAAAGTAATCTCAAAATACCATTTAGGGGAGGGTGGGGCCTGACCTCGAAGCAGAGAGGACGTAAATCACAGCAGCTCCTGCTCAATACAGCAATTATAGCGAATTTTCAGGGCCAACACGGCTAATAAGCGAGACAGAAAGGCTACCCAGAGTGCGGTGACATCGGGGTGCACAGGTAAACACCAAACAAGCGACGAACAAAACCCCATCCACCCGACACAATGGTGAGGCCTACAAGCATGGCGGGCGCAGGGGGGACGGCCGCTTTCCTGCAGCCACGACCGGCCAAGAGTCAGGCCTTGGGCCCTCGTTCCCCCCCCCTCTGGACCGGTGGGGCTTATCCCGGTCTACCCCCACAAGATACCCCTACATAGCGGTGGAAAAACAACCACGATACAGAGACCCGAACCTACCGTCACAAAGGCCTCCAAAATGGAGGATGCCATCCATACAGCCTACCCACAAAATGTGTGGCTGGAAACAGAGCTCCGGCTAAACCTCATCTTCTCCTCCTTCTGGAAGCAATTGAAGGCTCGCATGCGGACTCTGAAATACAAGCCACTGACTGCAGACTGGTCACGCACTGCACCACGAGGTACCCAACGGAGTGAAGCAGAAGCTCCGCCTAACCCTGCACCCGCGAAAGTCCATCCCCAGCAAGGGGCCACCTCGGGACCACACCTGAGCACCAGGATGGGCAGCAGCAAAACGGGGCCTGGAGCCCTGGGGATACCCAAGAGAGGACCCCCACGGCACCCTCATCGAAGACCTGCACCGAGACTCAAGCCTCAAAGGGGCAAGACCGGCCCGACACAGCGAATGAAATGGAGGGGCGCAAAGCTCAGAGAGGAGAACGCGATGAGAACACACACAGGGAGCTGTCCCAGTCCAAGACAGGCGAACCCAGCCCGGCACACTGATTGGAAGGCACTATATGCACTAGCCAACACATCCCCACATAGCTCAGGGGCTCTAAGCTTCCTCGCACCGGGGAGACTGCACAAGCTGCAACGACCAACAGTGGGGGCACGCGTCCAGCCCCAACAAGGCATCGGCTGACCCCAATGGGACTTGGACTCAAAGTCAGGCAAAATGCCCATTGTTACTCAGTTTCCTATGCCCCAAGTGAACTTCTACGTATGTCGGCTGGCATCTATATTCTGTGTTTGACTTTGTTTTATGGACTGCTCGCACAGGGGATCACGGGGGGGTATTATCCGTAGTCCATCGATTAAACGCTAAGTATACCCATGCTTAGACTAGCCCATGCTCAAGCGAGTATTATACTTTTATTTTCTTTATTTTAGTGCAATCTTATCAATATGCTGCCTAGCAGTTAGGTTTCATGTGTTATATTTAATCTTTCCCCCACAAACACTGCTGGAACATTATAAGACCTGCTATATTAATGCCATGCACTTTCGAAATCATTATTTTTTTTCACATCTGACCATGCTTAATATCTACTTAAATATAAAATTGTGCACATATTCAATCTAGACTACGCCTTTGTTACATGTGTTTTACCTATGCATGAGGATTGCCGTTGGGGTACCTCACGCGCTTATGTTAAATTAATATGCACTGCAAAAAAAAATAATACCATTTAGGGGTTATGCATTATAGTAACCTCAACGATCTTAATATAGGGCTAGAATGGCTGTTTTACAAGAGTAATGACAGGAAATAACCTTGGCCATATATACGGTAATATGTTTTGCTGTGTGTGTTCTGGAAGTTATCATCATGATATTCTTTGTAAAAAAAGCATTTTGAGTGATTATCTTTTAGGACCATTTTAGCAGTTTAAGGTTTATGACCTAGAGTACACTCCATTAGTTTTCAGACTCATAGAATGTCATATATGATCAAGTAAATAGTCCACAAATTCCTGATAGCATTCTCCTAAAGACCATTTATGATATTAATAATAAATTATCACCAAAGCATATTAAGGGAGAACACCAAACATGTAAAATGTTGTATGACTGTTGTATGAAGAATGTGTCCTCTTTTTTCATTTTATAAAAGTGCTGATTGTAATAGAAATCACTACTTTTATATTTAAATGTTGGCACACCTCACTGTTAGGCGCTATCAGTTAGGCAGTTGGTCCTGCTAAATTGTGTGCATCACTTTTTATTACTAATAATATTTAGTTTTCTGCTTAGTTTGTAAATGTAATCAATTGTGAAAATAAGCAGGAAAAAAGCATAAATCCAAGAAGAATATAATGTTTGTGTGTGTGCGTGTATGTAGGGGGAGAGGATCAGCTATGTTGGAGCACTACAGTAAAGTTGCAACAAAAGGTGCAAAAAAGCCCAAATAAATAAAGTGTAGATTAACGGGTTTATACATAGGAAAATGGCTCACGCGAACAAAACCAGTGGACATACTTTTTACACATAACCTTCTGAGTTTGGAACACAGTCATGAGTATTTTTAACAAATACTAAAAATCTTAGTGTCTGTTAAAAATTACAAGAGACAACCCCTTATATTTCTACTATGAATCTGCCAAGATCAGTGACATGTGTGGACACAATAGGGAATTTGCTTAACCCAATTATGGAAGGGCATTTATTTTGGACTCATTTTAGGCTGGAAGAAAATTATGGGAATAGTGACAACCTATCTCTACTACACCATAAAATAATCATAGTCGAGTTTTCTGTGTGTTTTCTAATTTAAAAGCACAGATTTACCCGAAGGCACTTATGTCACATTATATGATAAATAAACCAAAATAAACATCAATTTACATGTAAAGTGGTCGAAGTTAAATGTAAATACTTTTAATAAAGGTATAGGAACGACATTTACTGAAATAGAAACTGACAATATACACAACCATTTTTGTATGTCAAGACATTTCCCTTGTATTGTTACTGCATCAAATTAACATATTTCATCCAAAATAAATTATTTATTTATTTATAAAATATGTTACCAGGAAAGATACATTGAGATTTCTCTCGTTTTCAAGTATGTCCTGGGTCCACAAAACATTGCATTGTTACAATTAGGGTACAATAAAATACAAAAACAATGTTAATACAGAATAAATACAAAATTTAACATCGAACAGGCAGGAAATATATAATCAACCATGACAGGTGCATTCTGTTTTGAGGTATGTAGAGAGAGATCTCTTAAAGGACTTTAGGCTTAGGGAAGATTTTAAATTGTGCGGGAGGTCGTTCCACAATTTCGGTGCTCTGTAGAAAAAGGAGGATCGGGCTGCTTTCTTTTTGTATTGAGGTAGACTAAGTAAAGTGTTGGTACTGGATCGGAGGTTATAGGAAGTGGGAACAGCTGAGGAAAGCATTTTGTTCAGGTAGGGTAGGAGTTTCCCAGAAAAGCTCTTAAACACAAGGCTGGAAAGATGAAGGGTGCGTCTGGATATCAGCGACAGCCAGTTTAGTTCTTTTAGCATGTCACAATGGTGGGTCCTGTAATTACATTGTAGCACAAATCGGCAGAACAAGTTATACAATGTATTGAGTTTATTAATGTGGGATTGCGATGCAGATGCATATACTACATCCCCATAATCAATGATTGGCATCAGCATTTGCTGTACAATCCTTTCCTTTACTGTAGGGCTTAGGCAGGATTTGTTTCTGTACAGGGCACCTAGTTTTGGATAAAGTTTAGATGCAAGTTTTTCTATGTGGAGGCCAAAAGATAGATTGGGGTCTAACATCATACCCAAGTATTTGAAAATGTAAATACATTCCGCTAATCTGACAGGTTTCAGCTTTCAGATGGTAATAACATGCTTCTATAATTTTGTCTTTCAGTAAGGCTCACATAAAATTTTGTAAAATAATCTATTTTTAAACAAAGGTTTCTTCCAATGTGAATATGAATAATGATTTACAGAAACATCTTAACCCCTACACTGCCATCATGATGTATTACTAATACCTCAAACTTGTGGATGTAATATACATTCATCATATTTTTTGTAGGACTTTTTTGAGATAAATCTGCAGAATATTTTATTAAATAGAAGAATGAGCTGGCCACCATGTTTGATATATCTATAATTATATATAGGGTCTTTCCTAAATTTGTATAACGCTCCACTAATTTCACCAAAATGTGCACTTTAGTTTATAGCAAAGATGTTTTCAAGAAGCAATAGATACAAATTCACCAGGGAGCTGCAAACATAGCTGACAGATTTGGTTGAATTGGTCTATTTGGCAATAAAATTTAAAATTCTATGATAATTTCACAATTAACAGTGTTATTCACTAGTACTAATTGTGGACAGTACTCAAAGGAATTATACATTTTAGTTCAGAACAGTGTAACTGGAAAAATAGCACAAAGCAAAGGAATCTACAAATACAAAAACAGACATGCACAGGGCAACACTCTTTAGAAAACCAAATAAGTGTGTTTTTCAAAATATAAAATATAGAAGGCATGTCTCCCAATTAAGGGTAGTAAACCAGCAGTCCACGTATCTTCCTTTATAGGCTCCTCTTACACATTAATTTAAAAGAGAAATACAATTTAGTGTGTACTTGTAAAGCACAAACACTTTAATCTAAAAATACTCTTACAATAACAAGAACACGTCACCAAAGATGGTACCAGGTATTTGTTTCACGGCACAGACTGTCCCAACTGCCTAGAACCCAATACGCAGAACTTAGGTCAAAATAGTATATAAAATAGGAGCATATTAACGAGCCTTATAGTGACTGGGCTTTAATAAGGATACTAGTGAACAAGCCAAGGCCAGACAGACAAGATAAGACAAGCCAATGATAAGGGACAATTGAATGAAGAATGGTCGAGAAACAAGCCACGTCAAGATAGCCAAAAACATAAAGCAGAACTGATGTATTCTATATTAACCCTTTCCCTTTAGCTCATATAGTGGAGGAGCAACAGAAATCACATTGCACCGTTCGAAGACTGTTAAGCAGGTTGTGACTAATCTGCTCTATAACCTTTATATTGTTGAGTTAAACGTGTCTGTAAAATACTCCTAATTGACTAAGCTACACTCTGGATTTTGCAAAATTCAAAGATAATTAATGATGCAATTTGTCATGGTTTTAACAAAAATAAGAAACTATAAAAATGGATTTTTGTTAATTCTTACTCTGGATTGGTTTATTTTTATGTAACTGAATTTTTTTTAAATTCAGTACGAATACTGAATGAAAAAGAAATGTATAATTTCCTGTCTGGAGTGACCCTTTAATTGCTATTTTGGATTACACTTTATTTTGTTTTCTCTTGTTTTTTTTGTGAGTTTATATTATTTTACGTTTTTTAAAGGACCACTATAGTGCCAGGAAAACAAACTCGTTTTCCTGGCACTATAGTGTTAATAGGTCCCCCCCACCCTCATGGCCCCCCTCCCGCCGGGCTGAAGTGGGAGCAAGGGGATAAATCTTACCTTTCTCCAGAGACGGGCTCCCTCGGTGCTGGGGACTCTCCTCCCTCTTCCGATGTCATCGGCTGAATGCGCATGCGCGGCAAGAGCTGCGCGCATTCAGTCAGTCCATAGGAAGCAGAAACGCCTCTAGCGGCTGTCAATGAGACAGCCACTAGAGGCTGGATTAACCCATATGTAAACATAGCAGTTTCTCTGAAACTGCTATGTATACAGCAGGCAGGGTTAACCCTAGATGGACCTGGCACCCAGACCACTTCATTAAGCTTAAGTGGTTTGGGTGGGTATAGCGGTCCTTTAAAATGTAAAATTTCAAATGAAATTCTAACAGATGTGACTTGCTAGGTTCTGCAAGATAAGAAACATTTGTTTTAGAAGTGCTTGTCTTCTGTCATTTTCTTTCCCCTGCCAGTAATTCTCACCAGAGTTGTTATATACACAGAAGCATATGCAAATTATGAGATCCCGAGTTACAGTGTGTTCTTAAAGATGTCATTCAATTGAAATGCAAAAAAACTGCTGAAATACATTAAGTACAATCTCTGAATTTTAGCAACTTGAAAAATTAAAACTAAATTAGCCATTTGCAATTCATTTAGCTTCCACCATAATTGCTTTTCTCCTCAGCTTTTATCCAACCATATCATTAAATGGAAAGGGTGATTTAAAATAGTGTAACTCTTATGAATCTCAGAAAGCACAGAGCATGTATGTCCTACCACAGCCCAGAGATGAGGGACCTCTGTATCGTGCACTGTCAGCCATAGATGACATCACCCACTATGCTGTGTGATGATTGAAAACATAATCTTCCCAGTGAATTGTCAAGATGATCATGCAAAATATATGAGCTATTTTTTAAGCGTTACCAAAGTTGATGTTCTAAAAACAATATTTCCACTCCAGATGTTATGACTTACAATTCCTGTACATACCTCCCAACATTTTAAATGAGAAAGAGGGACACTTTAATTTTAGTGTTTTAGTAAAGGGTGTGGGAAGGGGGCTGTTCTGAGAATTTTTGGTGACTTACTAATAATATTTTGTTTAGCTAAAGTAGAATTTAGAACAAGAAGAATGTATTGTATTTACACAGACTGATTTCTAAACACAGTTATTATAGTTTAAAGACACAATACTGTGCGTATTATTATTGCTGTGGAGCTCTGTTATACACACTAACAATATGGAGCTTCTAGAAAGCAGGAATATTAGGATAGAAAAGAGGAGAAGGAGGGATTTGGGCCCAAAATGTGGACTTTCATTTCTAGATAGGGACACTTGGAAGGTATGCTATGACATTCAGCAAACCAACATGAATCATATTACACTGCAGTCAGGCTGCCAGTCACTGCTGTTGCAATTTGAGTCTTTTTCCCCCCTTTTTTTATGCTTGTTTTGCACAAATGGAAACATCCTTTTAGTAGGTTTTTCATGATCGTGTTAACAAGGACCTGTGCTGTAGAAAGGTTCTCTAGTGGTCATTTGATTAAGGCATGAATAATTTGTCCAAGACATGTTACCATGGTGACATAGAGGATTAGCAGACAGGAATGATTCTATTGGCCTTTCTCTGCCTCTTCTTGCTGTTCTTGGTAACATTAATTTGTTCTCTCTCCTGCTGCTGTGTGTACATGGCCATCTGTTATTACAGACCATTTAACACTCAGGTCTGTTTAAACAGCAACATACAATGAGCTGGCTGTGCATACCTTCTACTTAATGCACATGCTAAAATTGTTTTAGAATATTGCTTGGCGGAAAGGTAAATCAGAATTTGGTTTTGTAGTGAAAGCAAAGTGCTTGCGTGAAAATAAATGCAGGGTGGTTCGTTCTCGCAAGAAGGAGTTGTGACAAAAGTGATTTTGGGCCAAATCGTTGAGTCTAAAAAAAATAAAAAAAATTTATTTTGTCTTAAATTTGGCAGCTGTTTTGTCAAATTAGTCATGTTTAGTAAATAAGCGCTAATGGCAAAAGTATGCATTGTGCATTGGTAACTATTAGTAATTGTAACTGCAATCATACTGAGATCTAACTAAGGCCAGATTGATTTCTCTGCTCAAGTTAACATATCACAGTAAAAGCATTTTTTTGTCATTCGATGGTGCTGAGGTCATTTCCTCATTATGCATTGCTACTATATCGACAGTGAAATGCTTCCCATAAGGGCAAAATTCTGGGAGTACAGATAGTGTTGCCATAGAGAATCTATTCCCAAAAGAACTGGGACCTTGAGAGGATAATGTATATTACCACAGAAGGAAAAATATTCTGCTCTCTTGTCTAATTCTCTTTTGCAGGGAATAATTAAAAGAACAGAAACAACGATACGCTATATATACACATACACCATAATGTATCAGTGCAAACTGTGACCATGCCTTTGGTGCAGATTGTGCTCTAATTGAAAAGGTTGCTTTTTGGGGCTCTCTATCTAGTTGCCTGAAGGCTGACTGTATAATATGTTTGTAGAATTTTCAGTGTACATTCTGCAATATGAAATTATTACATTAGATTTAAGGCAAGAGTAGCTGAACTGAAAACATAGCTGACAGATAATATTCCCAATTTGTCTTTTTGACCTTAAATTTTAAATTAACTTTGAACATCCCTGTTAATATGATCCTATCCTTAAACACTTGTTTGTGCATGATTCAGGGGTCTGTACTCTAAAACTGTATATGGGAAGGAATTCACACTAGATTGCTAGATATTTTTTTTAAAGGGACACTATAATCACCAGAACAACTACAGCTTATTGTATTTTTTTCTGGTGAGTATATTCATTACCTTCAGGCTTTTTGCTGTAAACACAGTATTTTCAGAAAAAAATGCAGTCGTTACATTACAGCCTAGTGATAACTCCGCTGGCCACTCCTCAGATGGCTGCTAGAGGTTATTCCTGGGGCAGTGCTGCAGTGTGCAGTACTGGCATTCAGTGTTTCCACCCTCTGCATGGAGACACTGAACTTTCCTCATAGAGGTGCATTGATTCAATTCATGATGCTGATTGGCCAGAGCTGTGTTTGGCTTGTGCTGGCTCTGCCCGGATCTGCCTCCTTGACAGTCTAGCCAATCCTATGGGAAAACATTGTGATTGGCTCAGACCACTACTGCAGACTTGAACAAAAGTAAGAATTTACTATATTTAAGGAGTCTAGATGGTGGTTTTAACACTATAGGGTCAGGAATACATGTTTGTGTTCCTGACTCCATAGTGGTCCCTTAAGTATATAAAATAAGCAATCTAGTTTCCCATCCATCCATCCATCCATCCATCCGAAGGAGCAGTCAATTGAATGAGCATATGTAAATATACTAAAGTGTTATATGGTACACGCCAAGCTACAGCTCTATCCAGATTGCTTAAAATCATTCATCTAAAATAAAAATGTAGATTTTAGTGACCTTCTTTATCTTTATATAAGAGATTATGCATGGAAATACGGAATTAAATATGGGGTTATTTGATTTAATATCAAATAAAGGAAGACATAAGCAAGGTAGGCTGCCTGTTGTTGGTAGGTTATTAGTAGTAGAAGAAGCTGTCTTAGGGTTTCCATTTGTTTCCTTTGTCTAGGGGTTAACTATTTCTATAGTTTATTTGCAAACAATAAGGAGATGTTGCTTCTTTATTGTGAATTAAAGCTTTATTGGTGTGTGATAGCAAGGCCAACACACAGGGTTACATTAGGTGGAATAATACAACCAGGAAGGCCAAGATGTAACAGAGAAGTAACAGGGCTGTAACAAGATGTAAGGAGATGTAACAAGGGCTTTGTTAAATATATTGTTGACTCAATTTTGAACATAAGTATCACGTTCCAAAAAAAATAAAAAAAATAAAAACTGTTAAACTAAAATTATAGAAATATATGGTATTTGTTTAATTTAAATAATATTTCTCAGTTGTACCTGCTAGTTTCTCATTTGACCCCTGTCTGGTTTCGCTGTGCTGTAAACTGAAGCCAGTTCTGTTTTTCTGGATTTAATCTGGCAAATCTTTTTGACAGGACTCTGTGGGTTGAAAAACAAATCATATACAGGATTATGCATTACAAATGTTGCTGATTAGATGCTCCTTAGTAAAATGAAATGGATAGCATTTTCAAAGGCATAGCATTTTCAACACAAGCACATGTTAATTACAGCAGTATACTCAGATTTTAAACATTTTCAAATGTTAACATTATTTACCTATTAAAGCGCCACTGTCACTCCCTCCCCCCACATGAGAAATTAATATTTCATAAAGCTAGAATTTTTATGAAATACTCATTTTGACTGTGTTGGATTTTCACTGAAATTCTAACTTAGTTAAGAGCTATACAGACACAAAGGAGGGAACTAGACTGTGGGTGGAGTTACTGTGTCAATCTCGACAGATGTCACCAGTGATGGCTGCAGAGAATTGGCTCTGTCTATGGATGATCCCGCAGTCTCACAAGATCTTCCATAGACTTCACTGCTATACTCTCGCGCATGCAACTCCTTAAATAGGACCTGCCAGAACAAGATGGCCATGCCTATGAGGGACAGGTTCAGGAAAGTAAATCTCACCTTTACAAGCCCCCAACGGCGATGTCACCATAGGCAGTCTTTGCGAATTTGACGAAGTCCCCCGACGGCAACACTGCTGCTTATGATTACTGTGCCATGATTAAGAATGTACGTAACATTAAACTAAATTAAGAAATTAGTTAATTATAATTTTAAATTGATATTAAAGCATTAAATTGTGCGTAGAAGAGTGTAGAATAATAAGTGTCTGCTCTGCTTATTTTCAGGATCTAGTATTAAATTGGCAGGGTTGGCAGTGATGCAATTACATATAAATGATGTATTATGACTTTGACTACTAGCATATTGTCCTTTACTTTGTGCCTAAAATGGACAGAACGAGGTCTGTTTACTAAAGAATAAGTTGTGGTCATTTTTAAGTTTTAATATTTTGAGATTTGTGTCCCCCAACTAAGAATGTGGGTTGCACGTTGGTTTTCGGGTCCACACAATTCACTTCTTAGTAAATAACCCCTCCCCCCTCCAATTATAAATACAACAAATTCTACTTCTATCACTGATAAGTGAGAACTGTTTAATTTTGTTGATGTCTTTGCTGATCATTAGTGAGTGGAAAAATCCTTTGGGTACGTACATAGAGTATGTTTATCCTCTGTGTACCTAAATTAAATAGCCAGCTGTTGCTTTTTTCGTCCCATTTAATGTACATTCATGCAGTGCACTTTCCTAGCTGTAGTTCCTTTTATCCACCCACACACATTAATGGCAATGCGTCATCAGGATTCATTCTCCTCTGTTTTTCAATGTGTGTACTGAATTGAATTGTTCATGCTAACACAGTTCCTAAGGTAATTATTGTAACTGTACTGACAAAGTGTTCATGTCAAATGACTTCTAATACGTGAGATTTTAGACATTCTATATACACAAAATTAGATCACACCAATCCTGCTGCAGGTTAAAGACATTGTATAATTTTAATAATTAAAATGTTTTGCTGAGATACTAGCTGATATCTACTATTTACTTATAATATACATTTGATGGACCATGAACTTTTGAGTATACGTAATAATTTAGCATACTGCCACAATAAAAAATATTACAATGCAATAAAATTAATCATGATGAATAATTGTGACACAGTCTCTAGAGTATATTATCAAAGAAAAAAAAAAACCTTGAGAAAATCGATGTTAAAGCTCTTGTTAAAAATGTTTTTTTATTAAGAATGCATAAAAAGGAATCTATTGCCATAAACGTTTTAATAATAAACAAAAAAATAAATAAATTATATATATATATATATATATATATATATATATATATATATATATATATATATATATATATAAATAAAAGTGTCTCATCATTCTGAATAGGACTGAATACAGAAGTCCAAAAACTAGTCTGAAACAATCCCCAGAGAGAAAATGATGAACAAGGATAGACAAAGTGTAGCTAATGCATACTAAGTAAGGGCAAAAGGTAAACATCAAAGTTAATATTTTCCAACATGTAACACTGCAAAACCTCACTAGGGGTTGTAGTTATTGCCCACACATAATGTCCAAATCTGCCTAAACCTCCACAATTCTCATTATATTGAATATACTCCTACATGTTTTTGTAAGAGACAGTTACAGCAATGGGTGTAAATCCTCTCCATCTAAATATATTGCCATGTTGCAGATACCAATAGTGCTGGTGTAGCGGATTATATGATATTCTTATCTTCACATTGTTGCTATGCACTTCCGATATGTCTATAAGTTATGTGGTACTATTATTAAATGTCTAAATGTTCTTAACCACATTAACATTCTGCTAGTGGATGCAATTTAGATATCTAGTAGTAATATTAATCCTGCAAATTTAAATGAACACTCAAAGCACCATAACCACTACATCACACTTTAGTGGTTATGGCTGCAGGAAGGCCCTGGCAACACCCATTGTAAGTACTCAACCTCTCAGCTGTTTCTTGCTCTCCCATTATTTACAGTGGGACCATTGATTTACCTCTTGAATCTATTCCCAGTGGATCCAGCGAACACTTACTGAAAGAAATCCTTGAAGGGATGTGTCAGAAATAACAAGGAATCGATTGCCATGCACGTGCCATACAATACTATTTTGGGCAAGTGGTGACAAGAGAGAGCAGGAATATACAGAAATAAAAATTAGTTTTCTTGTGTAAAAACCCACTAAAAGCACAAATGCTGCTATGATGCTTGGTGTTTCTCTTTAATAATGTACATTTAGTGCTGCAATAATAAAAAAAAAAAATATATATATATATATATATATATATATATATATATATATAGACCTACTAGGAAAAAAAACAGACACAAAAATTGAACATTGACATAAATATACAAATAAAGATAGTTGTCACTCACCCTTCCATTACTTTGATATTGTATTTCTCAAGAGCTTGAGAAAGACCCTATGGGTAATTTTGGAATAAACTACACGATTTTTTCACTAAAATACCTCCCCTTTTTGCACGTATATGTATATATATTTATAGTAGCATAGTATTAGTATAAATACTAATACGATATACATATACAGTTGCAAGAAAAAGTATGTGAACCCTTTGGAATGATCTGGATTTCTGCACAAATTGGTCATAAAATGTGATCTGATCATTATCTAAGTCACAACAATAGACAATCACAGTCTGTTTAAACTAATAACACACAAAGAATGAAATGTTGCCATGTTTTTATTGAACACACCATGTAAACATTCACAGTGCAGGTGGAAAAAGTATGTGAACCCTTGGACTGGTTGAACCTCCTTTGGCAGCAATAACTTCAAACAAACGTTTCCTGTAGTTGCAGATCAGACGTGCACAACGGTCAGGAGTAATTCTTGACCATTCCTCTTTAAAGAACTGTTTCAGTTCAGCAATATTCTTGGGATGTCTGGTGTGAATCGCTTTCTTGAGGTTATGCCACAGCATCTCAATCGGGTTGAGGTCAGGACTCTGACTGGGCCACTTCAGAAGGCGTATTTTCTTCTGTTTAAGCCATTCTGTTGTTGATTTACTTCTATGCTTTGGGTCATTGTCCTGTTGCAACACCCATCTTTTGTTGAGCTTCAGCTGGTAGACAGATGGCCTTAAGTTCTCCTGCAAAATGTCTTGATAAACTTGGGAATTCATTTTTCCTTCGATGATAGCAATCCGTCCAGACCCTGACTCAGCAAAGCAGCCCCAAACCATGATGCCCCACCACCATACTTCACAGTTGGGATGAGGTTTTGATGTTGGTGTGCTGTGCCTTTTTTTCGCCACACATAGTGTTGTGTGTTTCTTCCAAACAACTCAACTTTGGTTTCATTTGTCCACAGAATATTTTGCCAGTATTGCTGTGAATCATCCAGGTGCTCTTGTGCAAACTGTAAACGTGCAGCAATGTTTTGTTTGGACAGCAGTGGTATCCTCTGTGGTATCCTCCCATGAAATCCATTCTTGTTTAGTGTTTTACGTATTGTCGATTCGCTAACAGGGATGTTAGCATCTGCCAGTGACTTTTGTAGGTCTTTAGCTGACACTCTAGGATTCTTCTTCACCTCATTGAGCAGTCTGCACTGTGCTCTTGCAGTCATCTTTACAGGATGGCCACTCCTAGGGAGAGTAGCAGCAGTGCTGAACTTTCTCCATTTATAGACAATTTGTCTTACCATGTACTGATGAACAGCAAGGCTTTTGGAGATACTTTTATAACCCTTTCCAGCTTTATGCAAGTCAACAATTCTTAATCGTAGGTCTTCTGAGAGCTCTTTTGTGTGAGGCATCATTCACATCAGGCAATGCTTCTTGTGAAACGCAAACCCAGAACTGGTGTGTGTTTTTTATAGGGCAGGGCAGCTGTAACCAACACCTTCAATCTCATCTCATTGATTGGACTCCAGTTGGCTGACATCTCACTCCAATTAGCTCTTGGAGATGTCATTAGTCTAGGGGTTCACATACTTTTTCCACCTGCACTGTGAATGTTTACATGGTGTGTTCAATAAAAACATGGCAACATTTCATTCTTTGTGTGTTATTAGTTTAAGCAGACTGTGATTGTCTATTGTTGTGACTTAGATGATGATCAGATCACATTTTATGGCCAATTTGTGCAGAAATCCATATCATTCCAAAGGGTTCACATACTTTTTCTTGCAACTGTATGTATGCTACATAGTCTACATCTCTTCCTTGCTAACGTGAACACCCAATTGAATTAAACAGGCATGGATTTGTCAATGTTCAATTTCGGCACACAGAAGAATTCATTGGAAATGCTGATTGTTAATATATAAATGATCTTGCACAACATGCCCAGTTGCTCTAAGTAATTGAGTTAAATCAACAAACCCACAATGTCAATAGGGCTTCAGGAAGTCATGTAACTCATATGGTTTTAATGAAGCTGCAGGATATGTAAAAAGATTGGGCAGTGATGCAAATCACTATATACATTGATCAGCAACAATTAAAAACACTGACAGGTGAAGTGAATAACATTGATTATATCGTTACAATGGCACCTGTCAAGGGGTGGGATATATTAGGCAGCAAGTAAGGAATCAGTTCTTGAATTTCATGTGTTGGAGGCAGGAAAAATAGATATGCGAAAAGATCTGAGTGACTTTGAAAAGGGCCAAATATTAATGGCTAGATGACTGGGTCAGAGCATCGCCAAAACAACAAGTCTTGAGAGCTGTTCCCGGTATGCAATGGTTAGTGCCTACCAAAGGTTGTGCAGAGAAGGACAACTGGTGAACCGGTGTCAGGGTCATGAGTGCCCAGAAAGGTTAACCCATCTGGTCTGATCACACAAAGCAGTTCCTGTAGCTCAAACTGGTGAAAAACCTAATGCAGGTCATGATAGCTAAACATAATAAGCCATGATATCTATCTTTCTATCTATCTATATATAGTTCCAGACAGGGGCAAAAATTCAGCCCAGGCATTTAATAGCACCCCAATACAAGGGGGCAGGGATTTCATGTTTTTGGATAAACTTTTCAAATACATTTTTCAAAATATTGAAATTCCAAAAAATATATCATGTATAAAAAATATGTCAATATATTCAAATATATCAAAATATTAAAATACTTTTCAAAATATTAAATCATTTGAAAATCTTAACCAAAAAAGGTAACATTGAGGCCTCTATTAGATTCTCATTATGGCCTTGATTTAATATTTTTGGTTACGTTTTTCAAATGATTTAATATTTCTGGATAAACTTTTCAAATGATGTATCTACAGAAGTTACCATTAAAGCCTATGGGAATTTTAAAGATAAATAACTAAAAAGCTTTGTCCAAAAATATTAAATGCATATGTTGAGAGACAGCAGTAAAAGGACCATACATATTATATGTCCAATTCTGTATGTTTCAGACATCGTAATAGATTAACTAATAGATTATATCTGTTGTGAATAATCTAATGGGATTAAGTATTGTGTGTCACCTACACAATGACTAACTTTGAATAAAATCATACTTAATTCCAAAAGTTAAAGATGTGCGACTTTGCAGACATGTATAATTACCCTTGATGGTTTCTAAAATATTCTTCACCATGAATATTCTCATGTATGATGATGCATTTTTTTCTTTAAGGGACACTATAAACACCAAACCAACTTTAGCTTAATGGAGTAGTTTTGGTGTATAGGTCATGTCCCTTCAGTCTCACTAAATCAGTCTATGTGCCAATTATAAGATAAATCACTTTGTGTATGCAGCCGATGCCACACCTTCAATGCATGTAACTTGTAAAATCTCCCTACATATTTCCTGTAAAGAGAGATCTATTGTTTAAGCCACCTGTATTGTACAGTGTGTTTAATTTATAATTTATTCTCTTGCTCTGTAAATAGCCTGCATTAGCCTCCTGTGTGTGATTAAAGTTTAACAGAGCAGGAGAAACACATTTCTAAAGTGAATACACTGTGCTGATTGAAAATAAAACATATTTTTCATGTAGGTTGTGTGGCTAGGGCTGCATGAACAGAAACAAAAGTAATTTAACTCCTAAATTAAATTTAAAATTAGCAGCACTTACAACCTTGTGACAATTTTGTCACAAAACGATTTAATGATAATCACAAAACCATATTATACAGTATATATTTCAAGTTTCATGGAGGTGCAAAACAAATTAAATATATATTTGACATGATAGAAGAGAAGGTTTAAGTAAAAACATGTTTGTATTCTTTTTTCTAAAGGCATTGTCCAGGCTGTTATTAAAGGAGCACTACAGCATTAGAAATGAATACAGTAGATTTAGATTGATTTACAGTACCCTGTAAAAGAAGTTTCTTATCTCTAATTCAGCACTGAGATCGTCTTCTCGGCCCTCTTCTTCACTCCTAGGATATCTTAACTAGTGATGATCTCCTGGCCAATCCGATGCGTCCCACAGAGAAGCATTGGCAACCAGAGACCATACTCAATAATCACCACTCTGCGCCAATAGAATGTTTCTCATGGAGAAGCATCAAAACCAATGTGCTCATTATTTTCACTAGGCATTCTGATCATATCCCATAAATTCATTTTTTCCAAAGGAGTTTATGATATGTCTTGTTCACCAGATATTCAGGTTGTACCAGTTGACTCAAATGGCAATTGGCATTCTGCCACCCCATGCCCATGGTCAATGAAAATATAATTTTTCTAATTTTACATCATAAAGTTGCTTCCCAATGATGTCACTTGTTGCCCTACCATTCCTTAATATTATCTGAGACACAGGCATGCAAATATGCGACCTGTACTGGTTTTAACATACACGTATCAAAATAATTAATTTTATTTTTTTATTTTAGAATCTTTAAAATATTTCTCTGTGGTCTTTTTGTACAGGTGAGCCTGAATTTAAATATGTTGGAAACATGCACGGGAATGAAGCTGTTGGAAGAGAACTCCTTATTTATTTGGCTCAATATCTCTGCAATGAATACCAGAAAGGAAATGAAACAATCGTCAACCTAATCCACAGTACTCGTATCCACATCATGCCTTCTCTCAATCCAGATGGGTTTGAGAAAGCTGCCCAGCAGGTAAGTGGATTCATTATCCATATCAACAAGGAGATTCGTTTTCTGTCTAGAACTCTTTTAGTCAAATCCTACATTTTGATATACTTCAATTATAACAGTTACAGTGTACGTGAAAAGATGGAAATGCCTGCCAAGGACAACGTAGACAGATGGCTTGTTCTTATAATACGCAGATGGTCACATTTTTCATTGGCACCTTCCATAGGCATACAATTAAAAATAATAAAATTCTAGTTCTATGGAGGATTAACTCACTTTGAAGAAGTACCTTTACTTAGTCTGTGTTTCATTGTTTACCGTGTCCATTGCCTCGATTTGTTTTTTCTGTGTTAGAATACACTATTTGTGATGTAGCTGCAAGCCTATTAATATACCAGTAACATAGACTAGCAATAAAAATAGCAGAGACTAAAAAGAAAGGGAAGAGTGCATTTCTGCTTTTAGAATAAATGTTAATATGGGAGGAGAATACATTGGCCTTCTTTACAGTGGGCTTTCGATTCTGTATGCACGGTCTACTTTTGCCCTCTAGAGGTTATTTCTGGAATATCACCATCTCTCACACTGAACACAATTTGCTTTAGAGAAAATGAATGTAAAATAATAATCTGCATTACTCAGTAAAGTGTAATTTAATGTAAATATAAGCAATAAGAATAAAGTCAATAGATGAATTAATTTGCATAAAATTCAGCCGCATTAAAGTTGTGATGAAATCAAGAAAGGAACAAAAACTCCCTACTGATTTAAGCAACTTCTCAATCATGTATGTTTGAGAAATTGAAATTCAGCTTATGATAATGTTAAAAAATAGGAGGTTTGCACAACTATTCCAAATGTCATGCCAAATATGTACATAAGCAAGAAAATAAACCTTTCCTATAAAAATGCCATAGTATTGTGTAAGGAAGACATATGGGTTAAAAATAATATAAAAACGCAGTGCGATTTGTGCTTGTTTGCATTATTTTCATTTTTCATTTTAATTTCAAACCTTAGGCTACCAATCTGTGAGTATGGCAGAGTTCTGAAAATGTTTCCAACTCAGCAGTTTTTGCCTAAAGATTTCAATTCTGTTTTCTATTCACTATTTGTTGTTTAGTGAATACACCCCACCGTTGCTTAATGCTGCTGTTATGATCTGTAAATTATAATGTGTAAACTGTAGAGTAGGATGTTTGAGAAAATATACAACTTGCATAAAACACATTAAATACAACTGTGAGTAAGTCTAAACATATAGAACCTATAGACCAGGTGATATGCCCCAATAAACTGCTATTAAGTGCACATTAAAAATCATATAAAGGAAAGGGGCTTACAGCACCTACAGTCTGATTTAACATTCACAATAAAAAGCACAGATTGTACAAATTATGTTGTATTTGAAATCATTATTCTGTGTTGCAGTAAATGCATCAGAACTGCAACTGCAATATCTTCTGTTCATATGAATTTCTAACCCAAATGACACAAATTTCAAAGAAAAAGCATGGATGACTTCCGCTGAATTTCCAAAAAAGCATGAAAATATTGAGTTAGGCACAATGCAATCTCTACTCGCTCAAAGTTGTGGGAAAATTAGATCAATTACTAAAGTACCAGTTTCTTATAGAATTGTACCCACTGACATGAAATCCATGTCATACAAAGTCACATGTCCATTCTCCTTGTTCTACACCAGGGCTCTGCAGACTTCGGCCCTCCAGATGTTGCTGGATTATAACTCACATTATTCTCTGGCTATCTATTTCATTCAAGAATCATGAGAGTTGTACTCATGGTCGGATTGGGAATGAAAAGCAGTCCTGGAAAAAAATTCTATAATGCATCATGCCAGCATAGTGTGCAGATATGAAAGCGGGAAAAAAAAAACTTAAAACTGAAAACTATCACTCAAACGTGAAAGAAAGCACTCATAGGACTTCAAAATAAATAAAAGAGCTAATTTGTTGTAAGCAGATGTGCATTTTAATATAATCAATGTTTCAGTACAACTACCATGACATAGTAAGGAAAGTTTCGTAATTGGACTGAAATTGTGAATGTATGCTATTGCACAGCAGTAAAAAAAATGACATTATCTTGCTCATTTTGAAGTAACAAGAGTGTGCTCTTCACTTTGGCTGACAGCTGGATGATCTCAGTCAACGCCAATTCATTCCCATAGGAAAGCATCGGGAGGCTATTGTGCATGTGTGGCAAAACGCTGTGCTTCACCGCACCAATCAGCATCTCCTCACAGTGATGCATTGCATCAATGCATCTCTATGGGGAGAATTAAGCGCCTCCATGCACTGTGCAGCACTGGACTAGGAAGCAGCTCTAGTGACTGTCTAAATGACTGTCACTAGAGATGTTCCTAGGAAGCAATGTAAACACTGCCTTTTCTCTGAAAAGGTAGCATTTACAATGCTCAGCCCACAGGGACAGGTTATAGACACCAGAACCACTACATTAAACTGTAGTAGTTCTGGTGACTATAGTGTTCCTTTAATACAAAGAGCAGGAGACACAAGTGAAGATGCACTTTGTTTGTGTCTTTCTCCCCCAAGCCCCTTTCATGTGTCTCTTAGCCCCAGCCCCTTTGTCTCTTTCTCCCCTTCCCCACCCTTTCTGTGAATCTCTTTCCCAGGCCCCAACACCTCTGTGTGTCTCTCCACACAGCTCCTGTGTGTGTCTCATTCTCCCCTTCCCCAGCCTTTCTGTGAATCTCTTTCCCAGGCCCCAGCACCTCTGTGTGTCTCATTCTCCCCTTCCCCAGTTCCTCTGTGTGTCTTTTGTTCGTCTTTCTCAACCCCTCTGTCTCTTTCTCCCCAGACCCCTCAGTATTTTTTTTCTCCACAGACTCTCCGTGTGTCTTTTACTCCTCTGACTCTCCATGTGTTTCATTAACCCCCAGTCCCTCCATGCATCTCATTAGCCCCCCATTTGTCCCATTAGCTCCCTCCCAGCCTTGTATGTGTCTCATTAGTCCTCCCATGTGTCTCAGTAGCCCCCCTTGTGTCCCATTAGCCCCCAGCCCTCCATGTGTCTTATTTGCCCTCACTTCCAACCCTCCATGTGTCCCTATACCCCCTCCCAGCCCTCCATGCATCCCATTAGCCCCCTCCCAGTGTATGTCTTATTAGTCCATGTGTCTCAGCAGCATCCCCATGTGTCCCATTAGCACCCAGCCTCCATGTGTCCTATTAGCTCTCTCTCCCAGCCTTCCATGTTTCCCACTAGCCCCTTTCCAGCCCTTCATGTGTCCCTATACCCCATCGCAGCCCTTCATGTGTCCCCATACCCCCACCCCAACCCTCTATATGTCCCTATACCCCCCTCCCAGACCTCCATGTGTCCCTATACCACCTCTAGCCCTTCATGTGTCCCTATTGCCCCCCCACCCCCTGTGTCCCCCTATACCCCCCTCAGCCCGTCATGTGTCCCAATAACCCCTCCCCAGCCTCATGTGTCCCTATAGCCTCCATGTGTCACTATAGCCCCCTCCCCAGCCCCCATTTGTCAATATAGCCTCCGAGCCCCAATGTGTCCCATTATAGCCCCCTCCCCAGCCCAATGTGACCCATTATAGCCCCCTCTCCAGCCCCCATGTGTCCCATTATAGCCTTGCTCCCCACTCTACCTGTAGGCCTGTGCCTTGCTGTAGCGTGGCCAAGCAGGCAGACCGCAGTAGAGGAGTTTATGTTCCCCTACCCGGTCTGACTGGAAGCAGTTGTGCGTTCTGCAAGCACTTCCTGTGAGACCGGGTAGGGGAACAGAAGCTCCTCTACCACGGTCTGCCTGCTCAACCATGCTACATTCTGTGACCGGCAGGAGGCACTACATTTGGGGTGTATTGAAACCCTATAGACTTTAACGATCTGTATGTCTTTGATTAAGTCCTATAAATTCATGTAGTAACTGTTTCAGTCCTCAAATGATCCACAGTATTTTCCAGCTTCTGTAAGAAGTTCTCCTTTCCCACTATATTGTTCTGAGATGCCTTTAATGTGAAATGCAATTTATGATTTGCCGATGTTTTATTTCTGGTTTCTAGCCTGGAGACATGAAGGACTGGTTTGTTGGTCGAAGTAATGCTCAAGGAATAGACCTGAACAGAAATTTTCCTGATCTGGATCGTATTGTGTACATAAATGAGAAGGAAGGTGGCACAAACAATCACCTCTTGCAAAACATGAAGAAGTCTGTTTACCAGAACACTAAGGTTTCTATTAAAACTAATTAATTAGAAAGTGTTTTATATTTTAGGTTATGCACATAGTCTATTATTGTACTTGACAAACATGAAAATGGTTTAGGAGACCCTTTGATTGGTGAGAAAGTAACTGCAAATACATATATCATGTTAAATATGGGCCTGTCCTTAGGACCTTTTCCAAGTCCTTAACATTCAGTATCATCATGTTGTGTGAACGAACCATCGGATTGGCGGAGTGTAGCAATTGCCTTCCATGCAGCTTAAAGGAACACTATAGGATCAGGAACACAAACATGTATTCCTGACCCTATAGTGTAAAAAAACACCTTGTAGCCAAATCTTACTTTTATTCCAGTCTGCTGCTGCTGCTGGCTCTGCCCCTGATCTGCCTGCTTAACTGACATCATCATAGGTGATTATCTCAGCCAATCACAATGTTTTCACGTAGGAAAGCATTGGGTTGGCTGAGCTTGTCAAGGAGGCAGATCAGGGGCAGAGCCAGCACAAACCAAACATGGCCTTGGCCAATCGACATCTCCTCATAGAGATGCATTGAATCAATGCATCTCTATGAGGAAAGTTCAGTGTCTCCATGTAGAGGGTGAAGACACTGAATGTCAGTGCTGTACACTGTGTAGCACTGCCCCATGAAGCACCTCTTGCAGCCATCTGAGGAGTGGCTAGTATAATGTAAACACTGCATTTTCTCTTAAAATACATTATTTAATGCAAAAAGCCTGAAGGCAATGATTCTACTCACCAGAACAAATACAATAAGCTGTAGATGTTCTGGGGACGATAGTGTCCCTTAAAATATGGGACCCTGAATCTAAATAAACCTTAGAATTCTAAGGTTAAAAATAAATATAATTATGTTTAGTGTTAGAGTGTTCATGTTAAAATAATGACTGTCAGTTATCTACATGTGGCAATTTCCATGCTAATAATATTGCTATTTGTGATAGGTAATTAGCAGCTGTCATTAAAGTCCACCTGTCATGATACACAATTTATTTAGATATTCCCAATTTAAAGTCTAAATTAACCTGTCAATAATCTACATGCATAGACCTCTATGCCAGCAGCATAGCCTTCTGCAAGTGGTTCTTCTACTCTCTCACAGCTCAGCTGTACCTGATGTGAAAATCCCCCAGAAGGCTCTGTTGGAATAATATTGAAAAAGAGTGATCTTGCTAGGACAGCTTGGGAGAGTGTGCAAAATAAATCATATTAGAGGAGGTTGGGTAGCAGGCAGGGTTGGGCATTAACATTACTTTTGTGTAACACCATTAAGATGATGTGATGGCAGTGCAGGAATGCTGGAGGGAGAGGGGGTGAGTAGATATAATCATACAGTGAACTAATAGCCAAATTGCAACATTTAAGCTAAAAGTAAACTATGCAAACAGTAACTCACAATTTTTGTCTACATTTTGTTATTTAATTTTCAATTTACTATTACTCACTATTTCGTGATTAAACTCTTAAGGGCCATTTGCTCAGAGAATTGAAGGTGATGTGTGCATGCACTAAAACCTTTTTTTAGAGTCCTGGGGAAGTTGCATTTGCAAGTAATTAGAAAATGTGTCTTTTTGTCTAGTGTCAGTGGAGGTGGAAGTAAGTAGCATCTAAAGAGAAAGAAGACTATCTGACATACATTGTACAGCGCTACAGAATTTGCTGGCGCTATATAAATAATATAATAATAATAATAATATTATGTAGTAGTCAATGAGGGGTCACTTGGTAATCTACAGAGGGGATAACCCTAATTAAATAATTAACAATTAAATCTAATTAAACCTAATTTAACCCTAATTAAAAGTATAACGTGTTTTACTCTAAAAAAGTGGCTTTAACATAAAGGGTAATCTATTGAGAGTTGCCCCTTTTTTGGGGTTTCTCTCTTATGTGTTGCGAGTAGCATCTAGACATTAAAGCGAGATGAAACCCGTGGGGATATTTATGGGATAATAATAGTAACAGTGAGAATTGCCCACTAATTCAATTCTCAGACCCAAAGATCGTTATCATGTTAAGTGAGAAGTATTTCATATAAATAATCACAATGTTATAAAAATAGATTTTATTTTATATAATGACAAATTAATTAATAATAATATGTAACATGCGTGACAATAATCAATGAATATCCAGTATAAAATGATATGCAATACAAAGGAATGGGTATACACATTTCAATGGCTAAACAGCATTATCTGTCAAGATTTTTGACGATTTATGAGGTATCCTTACAGACTGAAAAGAAAACTTTTCACAGCGAAGGGCCATAAAACCCTGGCTAACAGTTAGAATAACCCTTTCAATGCTGGCTAGATCTCCTAGGTAATTAAGGTCTATTCTTATGTAATTTTAAATAAAATAACATTTAAACCAGTTCATTAGTCATTTCCTGGAACCATCCAATAAGAGAATCTACCATGATTATATAAGCAGACTTTGTTTTTAATTTGTCTAAAAGATATCTTATTTTAATTTAGAGCAAATCAATACACCTGGATAAAAACAACGGTATGCTAACACGTGATAATATCACCTTAATATATAATTATTCTTAATTCCACCTGCAGAATGGAATGTTATAACTATATATTCTTTAGTTAACTAAGATTTCTTAATATGGAAATCTGACCGTGATTTATCCAGTCATATATAATGCTATTAATAAATTTTAATTAATTTAATTAATTAAATGAAACCAGTATAATTACCAGTTGAGTAGATATTTCATCCGATTGGTAGATAGTCTCAGGAACTTATTTGGATGTCTCTCTGCATGGAGTTATGGTGAAAGGTGGTGTTGGTTAGAAAGTCAGTGAAATTCTAAGTGTTAGAGTTTTAAAAGTAGAGTGTTAGTCTCAGATGTTGTGAGTTGGAGTCCCCAAACTTCCAATTCCTCTCTCCTCTTTTTCCTTCTCCTTTGCATATCTCAATCTTCCCTTTGTCTTAACTTTTAAAGGGCCAGACTCTCTGTACGTCATCAGTTGATAACCCAATAGAAGCACTAGAGGTGTGGTTATCTTCCAGATCGCAATTTAGTTATTTAGTCTATAGAGGGCAGTCTTGTCCCACTAAACATACCTATCCAGGAAAGAGTTAACTTTTCTTGGTGGCTATTTTGACGTCATTTTGCTTATCTCAAATGACCACTATAACTTACGTATCCTTTCAGATCAAAGGGTTTCTTTAAGTTTTGTCCAGACTATGTGTCTGCAAATCTGAGTTTTGACCCGTAACTTACAATGGGACCTTATAGATATAGACAGTAAAATTAAATTATTTAATCTTCTCTGTCACAAATGTCTGGGTTTAGATTTGATCTATTCCATTAGCATTAGACAGTCTGTCCAACCCCCTTTCTGCTTATCACTTTTGTTTATACTATCCATTCCTTTAGCTCTGGCAAAAATGGTTAGTTTTACAGAAAGAAATCTTGTGTCTTTTTGTTAGCTTGGAAATAACAAAATGGAGTCTGGTCTGTTCAAAGTGACTCAGAATATACACTTTTAATTTCTATCATAGCACAAGATGTCTGCCGATATAAATACCCTGACAAACCATGGAAACCATTCAATATTTATTTAGCTGCAATGTCTACCAGCTGTTAATACTTATTCTTAATGGCTGCCTTTTGAAAAACTAATGTATAGTACAGCTCAAGTGCTCTGTGAAATCTTTTGTGATTGCCTAAAATATTCTCTAATATGTTTCTACCTGATACTGTACAATGTTTATTTTAACTTCTAGAAGGTGTATCAGTGGACCAAATATGTTCATTTACATTGTTAGACAAATTAAGCATGCTTGCAGTAAATAATAGTTCTCAATTATGCACCTTTTCAGCTTGCCCCTGAAACAAGAGCAATAATAAATTGGATTATGGATATCCCATTTGTTCTGTCTGCCAACCTTCATGGAGGGGATCTTGTTGCCAATTATCCCTATGACAAGACTCGTAGTGGTAAGTTGAATGTGTATTATGGAATACAAATCAGTTCTAAAACTACTATTAAAACAGCTATGTTTTCAAATAATTATTTACAGTATTAAAACTAATTGTGGCCAAAACAGTTACCCTATTCTGACAAAACTAATTGTGGCCAAAACAGTTACCCTATTCTGGAGAAAGATGTGATGCTCGTTCAGTTGAAGCAGTTCACCAGTATCTGAAGATAAAAAAGGGCAAAAGACCAACATGGACCTTTTTTTCATGGAACTGACACAGAGATGTTTAAATATTACCTTTCCTTTTAGGGGTTACTGTGAGTGTACAATAAAAAAGGACAAATGTGGAGAGAGTAGAATACCAGGAGGGGCATTAACTTTGTAAAGCTTGTTTCGTGATGGTTTTATGATTTCTATTTACAATTTCAAATTCACTGACGTCAAACCCTCGAGTTTAGTTAGGTTACCTGTTTTTCCTACTTTTCTGATAAGAATATTATACATAATCTATTATAAATGGGATCTGTATGGAAAGCAGGACTCACAAAAAAGTATACTTCCATGAAACTCGAATGCAGCTTGATACAATTATTGCAATATTTTAAAACTGAAGAGAATATATTTATAATATGTAAAAAGCTGACAAAGAGAGGGGAAAAAATGTACCTATTCTTACTCGTATCAGTTTAAATTTAAACACCATTAGATGAATTGAGTCTAGCTTGAACAATATTCTACCAAAGCCAGATAAAAATACATGGGTTGGTAGTCACATAACATTACTCAATCAGGATTTGACTTATCTCTAAAATCTCTAAAATTATTGCCATAAGATTAGAAACTTCCCCAGAAATTGGGATTTACTAGGAGCTCACAGTCAAATGACCTTCACAGTCAAAAGGTGTTCAGGCAGTAATGTCAGCAATTGTGGTGACAATGACATACCATATACCTGGTAACTTTATGCTGAATTTGCAAAAGATTTTTGATCAAGTTTCCTGGTCCCACATGTTTCAAATTTTATTCTACAAATATTATATTCTACAAATGTATTAAAAATTGATATAGTTCAACCTCAACTAAATTAATGATCAATGGTTTTAATTCATCTCCTGTACTTATGGAATTAGGGATCTGTCAAGGTTGCCCTTTATCTCCTATTCTTTTTAATCTTTCTCTAGACCCTCTCATCTGTATTTTGCATAGTTCAGTTATATTTTCTGACTTTCTGACTTGTTATGACTAATTATATATCCCTTTCTATCCTTATGCATGCTGATTGGTTCAAATCTAAAATGTTAGACATTGGACTACAAAGAGAGGAAAAACAGAAACCTGATCCAACTATTGCTGTCATAACATTCAGTTGAAATAAATAATAAATGGTTAAAAATCTAGAAGATACTTTATTAATTAAACCAAAAACACAAAATGGGCACAAATAAACCCTGGCTATGACTGCCTGACTCAATGAAATAATCAATTTTGGCAGTACAAGCAAAAGAGTGCAAAATAATAAAAAAAATAAAATAAATGAAAACTCAATAACATATATCAATAAGACAAGACTTAGTAGAAAAATTCGCCATAGCGATATTAATCCGTGTCTTAGTGAATACAATAACAGATCCCAATAGAATCATCTACTTAGCTTGAAAACAGATACTCTCTAAATATGCTGCATAGATCATCTAATAAGCAACAATATATTTAGGAGAAATCCGAAATAGCCGTACACAATAACTAGAGGGAATGCTGCTCAAAAAAACAGTCCGAGACCACTTACTCATCGGGGGCCTCTAACTCAAGGCGAAACGTGCGTCGGGGCTCAATATTTGCCACTCTACTGTTATATTTTAGCTTGGTCTTCTGTGTTTTCGGGCACCTTCATCTTTTGTGCGCAGACTTGGACCACGGGCTACATTCAATAGCTATTGAGGCACCCGATGAACCTAGTTGGCTGACAGCCATCTGGGCATCACAGATAGATGAGTGACCGATCAAGGTGTTAGGAGCAGTATGATTTAGCAATTATACTATCTTACTATCTGCTAATCCAACGGCTCTCTGTGCCATAGCATTAGGATTCCATCTTTTCCTACTGTCTGTCCTATACTAGGTGCCCACGAAGACATCTTTCCAATCATTTCATACTATATCTTGATATTTTATTATCATCAATGTAATTACGGACACAGATTATAGAGTTCGTTTGTGGGTGTACCCATATCTGTAACACTATCTTTGTATAGATCATAGTAATCTTTTGTTATACCCATACTTATTACTTTATTCTTATGTAAATTATATTAAATATGCTGTTGACTGAGTGGCCTGAGGATAAAGTTAATATTAGCAGTTAGGACATTCATATGCTCTCATCATAGACTAAGTGGTCTTGGACTGTTTTTTTTTTAGCAGCATTCCCTCTAGTTATTGTGTAAGGCTATTTCATATCGCAGTGGATTCAATGTTAATATATGGATACAACATTGTATCGGATTTCGGATTTCTCCTAGATATATTGTTGCTTATTAGACGATCTATGCAGCACATTTTCAAGCTAACTAGATGATTCTATTGGGATCTCTTAGCCTTTTGACACTGTTGCACATAGTAAGGCTTATCAATAAACTGCAATCTTTAAGTTTGGATTCCAGTATTGTTGAATGGGTAAGGCAGTGGCTGAGTAACAGGCAACAGAGGGTTGTAGTCAATGGAATATATTCAAAGCTTGGACTTGTCACCAGTGGGGACTCTTTTGCACTCTTTTGCTTGTACTGCCAAAATTGATTATTTCATTGAGTCAGGCAGTCATAGCCAGGGTTTATTTGTGCCCATTTTGTGTTTTTGGTTTAATTAATAAAGTATCTTCTAGATTTTTAACCATTTATTATTTATTTCAACTGAATGTTATCACAGCAATAGTTGGGACAGGTTTCTGTTTTTCCTCTCTTTATAACCAATTTTTCTAGGGTTACCCCCTTATCTGTTCCTATAGATTTTTGGGATATTGATTGTTTGGCCACCTCTCATTAATTAGACATTGGACTACATCCTACCCACATCCTACACAGCCCTTTCTTTCTTTACATATAATCCAGTGGTCAGACTCACATTGGCACTGCACTCAGACCACTCCAATGAGCTGAAGTGAGCTGTGTGTCTATAATGTCCCTTTAATAATTTTTTATCAACTTAACATTTCTCAGATGATCCAACTTATCACCATTCAGTTGAGGAACTAATATCAGGAACAGCATACCTTCTAAAATCTGTTATATTTTCCAAATTAGTATACCCATTACAAATCCTTCCTATACTTCTGTTAAAACTGACGTGCAAAGATTATTCTCTTTTTACCACCTTACTAGGGCATGGAAGAAGGGTGGGTGAGTTGCAACAACTGAGATTTAATATAGGCATTAAAATTCCCTACATTTTCTAATATGCCAAGATACCGTCATGCCTTGGTTTGGATTTCAGGACATGACACATTCTCTAATTACTCCTTGGTAAAACAATTTTGTCCTAAAGTCCATCTCTTCACTTTACTTCATACACCTCTTGCTATTGTCAGAGAATGTTAGACATAATCCCTTACTTTTTTTTTTTTCTAGTAAAGCTTGGAAACCTACAGAGATTCCAACTGTAACTTCATTCGCTAATATTCATGATTTCTCACATTCCTTTCTAACCCTCCATTTTATAATAGTCTATCTATCATACCTCTCCAAACTTGACATAAGAGTTATTTATCCCATTGGTGAATGTTCAGACTTTCACAACCATAGAATCTTAAATCTTACACAAAAGAGGAACAAATTACCTTCACTTCAAATTCTACTTTTTGCAACTTTTAAATTGTATTCATTCAGTTCTTCCTCATTTACAAGACAATGATTTGACTAACTCATTAGTCTCAATTGTTTGTAACCCTTCACTAACCTAATTTTATATCAGGTTATTACACAGCTGTATACGAACAATCTTGTATCATTCTTTATCAACAAGCCATAATCCCAGATGGAACATAGGGTAATACAGTTTATCACAACTTAGTATAATAATCACTATATGGTCCCACTCACATGGTACTGAGCCACTTAGATAGCTGGCTCAGACTTTAGAAGCCTTGACAATAGAAGGATGAGGTCGATGATCCTTAGAGATCTATGAAATGCAGTTCCCAGCTTGTCCTGGAGCTACTTGTCAGCTTATAAACTCCAGAGTACAAATAGGTAAAAGGACAACAATTTATTAAAGCACTGTTGAAACATACAATCTCATAAGCATAAAATATTATAGTCCACTTCACTTGACATGTTTCCGCAAAGTAAGCCTTTTTCAAAAGTGTCCGTGTCCTTCTTTCTCCTGTTCTTCCTGTTTTTTAATGGTTTTTCTGATGGATCTTCTCCACCCACTATGTCTTTCAACTCATTCCTCTTCTGGGTTTCGCATCTTTGACATAGGGGCGTTCGTTGCGTGAATGCTTTCCCAGAATTCTTCCCCTCTGTGTCCCAACGTAGGTGACAAGCAAAAAGATACATCTTATAAATATACTTATTTATTCTTTAGGCAAAAGAAACCTAACATTTACATACATAATATAAAACAAAACTAAGTCTAGTTTAAAATAGTTAGTTGATTATAAACAAAATCACAATTTTATTTATATATATATATATATATATACATATATATATATGAAAGATGAGTTTATACATATAAAAATATATAAATATATATATATATATATATATATATATATAAAACAAACCAAAATTAATATCATTAAATATTGTAGAGGAGAACTTATAATGAGAGAAATAATAAATTACATAACATTTTTTATTTCAAAGTCAGCATTTAGACCTTGGGGTTGCAAAGTATCCATGTTAAAGATCTACCTCATTTCTGATTCACCAAGGAAGCTATCTTTATCTCCACCCCTCCAGTGGACCTGGACTTTATCTATACCTACAAAATCCAGGCCACTGTGGTCACCATTATGTATCCCAACAATAAAATAAACTTTAGTTTGTTTAAAAAAATTCGCACTATCCTTTTTTTGTCTCCTTATCTAAAAAAACCTTGTTAAAATCTGTTTAAAATTTCTTGCCCCTCTAAAAATGAATCTTGGTTTATCTGAATTGTCAAGGCTTCTAAAGTCTGAGCCAGCTATCTACGTGGCTCAGTACCATGTGAGTGGGACCATATAATGCTTATTATACTAAGTTGTGATAAACTGTATTACCCTATGGTCTTTTTCCCATTTTTTTTTTACAGGTGTCTTTATTTGAAAACCTGTAGTAATGCTATATATTGTGTGCTCTCACTGTTTTGTATTGTGTTTTTGTGTGCTTTGGAGAGAACACAAAGGTGAAAGAAGCACCAATTACAATATCCGAATCCTTATATTTATTGTATAAACACGTGGAACATGCCTTCCCTCACAATCAATTTTTGACATGCAAAAAATGTATATATAATATACTATGTCTAAGGTGCAAAACCAAAAGTGCTATAATGTGCAGTCACACAACACAACCCAATGTGAGAAAATATAATCTGCTACCTGGAGCTGGTTAAGCATAAGATACAAATCTGGACTGAAATACTCAGAGGTATGGTAACAGTATAGTATAGTATAGTATAGGAGGAGACAAAAAAAAGGAAGAATGGGACTTATAGTGCAGTATTTAAAACAAATAAACAAAAAAAACTCCTTTGTATCATTTGTATTTATTAGTAAGACTTATAATGATCAGTTTTTATAAATGCCCATGAAAGCACTATTAGGAATTGAAATTCAAAAGTCCATTTCATGCTTTCCAATGCCGCTGTTTCCAGATCTATCCATTTTCGGTATTGTTTATTTAAACACTCCTAAGCTCTCCTAACAAATTAAATGAGCATGTTTTTATTCTATACACAATTGCCCTTGTCATTGCTAATTACTATTGTTATATCATTGTGTATTGCTATATAAATAATTTAAATTGTTCTTTCTGCAGGCAGTGCACATGAATACAGTGCATGTCCCGATGACAACATTTTCCAGTCCTTAGCCCGTGCATACTCCTCTTTTAACCCAGCCATGTCTGACCCAAATAGGCAATCATGTCGCAAAAACGATGATGACACTAGCTTTGTTGACGGCACAACAAATGGAGCAGCTTGGTACAGTGTTCCAGGAGGTATGTAATGTTACATACATTATTTATTTTCATGCAGAAGAGAAAAAGTAATAATAGAGAATTATTTTTTAATAAAACATATGGACAGTATTAAAAAGCAATTGTAATTAGATTATAAATTACACATAACATTCTAGAAGGATTTTCACTAAACATTGAATTTTGTCCAAAATGGCATACTCAGTTGAAAATGACCAAATTCAGAAGGTAATTCTCATATTTACTAAAGCCAGATGAGATCAGTATTCAGTCATTAAGACCAATTCTGTAACATTTGTTCAGACGAGTTCGGAAAATCAGGGATTTTTGCATCAGAACCAATTTATAGCACCGGAATTGGAGATTTATCAATGACTCCATGGTAGCAGTTGTCAAAACAAATGCATCTGGCGAAAATCACATTTGCAAATGATCATATACTAGCTTTTTTTCAAGTCAATTAATAATTTGAAGAACTATCTGTCCACCAGCAACTCTTGCAGCCAGTGTGCAAATAGTTAAAAACCCTCAACGGCGCAAGGATTAATCATGTGATGGCTGGCTAGTGCTTGTTAGCTAGTCACTACATTAAAAAAATAATATATAAAAAAAAATGCTAAAGGGGTCACTAAGACTATAATGAAGGTGATGTACCTCCATATCCACTAAACACAAAAAAATTGCGACTGGGCAACCATTGCTGCCCAGTCACTAGAAAAGTTCCCCATCCCATGGGACCCTAATTCATTATCAAATAGAGGGAGTGGACATGCCAAGTAATAGTAAGCCCCCTGGGTGGGTGAGTTCTCAATCCCTTAGCCACATATCTAAAATAAATTCTCCACCTAACCCCTTCACCCTAATAATAGTGAGAAGTGGGCCCAAAAATATAAAACTAGTAAAAAAAATAAAAAAATAAAAATATATATATATATATATATATATATATATATATATATATATGTACCATTAGATATCTTCTTTCATCTAATTCTTATGTTGCTGGTGTGGGTAACTCTCGCTGTAGCTTGGTGCCCTCCATGTTTATTGTTTATGTTGTCAGACATATTATGCCACAGAGTCGGATGCACCATTTTATTTATCACCTTCTTTTTTATTATTGTGACTTTTGGAGGCCAACAATCTGTAGGTAAGTGGTTTGTGTCAAAGTAACAGCCACATAAACGCCAAGATTTTTTCAGCAGAATAATTCCCAGAGCATAACACTGTGTCCGCCAGCCTGCCTTATTCCCATAGTGTATCCTGCTGCCGTCTCTTCCCCAGGTAAACAACGCATACGCACCCCGCCATCCACCTGAAATAAAAGAAAACGATCCATCAGACCAAGCGACTTTCTTCCATTGCTTCATGTTACAGTTCTGATACGCACGTCTCCATTGAGGACACTTTTGGCAGTGGATAGGGTCATTATGGAAACTCTAAAACTGTGATGCACTGAGTATTTTGACACCTTTCTATCATGTCCAGCATTACATTGTTCTGCAATGTGAGCTACAGTAGCTCTTCTGCGTGATTGGACCAGAGCCTTTGCTCCCCACATGCATCAATAAGCCATTGGCAGCCATGAACTTGGCACCAGTGTACTGGTTTTCCTTTCTTGCACCACTTTTGGTAGATACTAACCACTGCATACAGTGAACACCCCTCAAGACTGTTTTGGAGATGCTCTGACCCAGTTATCTAGCCAATAGTATTTGTCCCTTGTCAAAGTCACTCAGATCTTTAGTAAGTACTGCTAGGTTCCTCGAATATGTACCACCCAGACGGTTGATATGCTGGACTTCTGAGAAGTTGTCAATCTGTAGCAGGATGCAGCAGTTCGCTAAATCTCTTGCAAAGTTGCATATAGCGAATGATTTGTGTGTCATCCAAAGTCGAACCTTGCAAGTAGCATCCCTACCTAGGAAGCTGACACCGGAATCCACCGGAATCCAGCGCGAAATCCAGGGTGGAACCAAAGTCGCATGCCCATTCCACGTGTACATGTGCATTAACACCAATGCAATTTGAAGCGCACATCTTCTGTCAATGGGACTATTTAGTCGTATGATGCTGATGACCTGAGAAACTGAGCCTTCAGGTGCTGCATAGCTGTGTGGTGTAACGGTACAGAAAAGATTGCTTATATGGATGAAGACAGAAGTCCTACTATCTGAGCCAAGAGCCGAAGTGGTACAAAGAACTCTACAGAGTTCTTTGTTGACCCTGGTTATCTTTGCCTTGGTATCATGCTAACGGTACTCAACTGTCCCGGGGTGCCCTGGAGGTCGGTCCACAGCAGTTATAGTGCCTGTGGCTGTTACACCCCAGTCGGCATCCTCTGATCCTTAATTTACAGCCAGGGAACTCGCAGTCCAAGATGGCAACAACTGCACGAGGAGACTGGTCTGCAGGTCAGAGGTTAGAGGAGGTGTGGCTGAGGGGCTAAGCCAGGATGATGATGTATCCAATATGGGGCTGAGTAACACAGTCAGTGACCTCAGGTAATCCCTCCTATAGGTGGGAGGAGGTTATGTGATTGAGCCACTCTTTTATAAGCAGAGCATGCCTAGTTTTCAGCCTCAGAACATCTAGCATTTGCCTCGCTGTGTTTCCTGGCCTAGGTGGTTTCCTGACTTTGTTGTTCTCAGATATTTGCTGATTGCCACCAGCCCTGACCTCTGGACTATCTTACTCTGATTTCTGCCTGACCCTTCTTCAGATATATTGCCTTGGATTTTCTGTTGCTTTTTAAAGCTCCTGTGCCATCACTGACCCAACAGAAACCTGTTCTCAACTTCAGGATCTCTGTGGATTGTGCTTCTAAGTGAGAGCTGTTACTACACCTGAGTCCCATGACCGAACAATACCCCAGCAAGTTGTTACACTTGGGTAATTTTAGAACAGGATCTGGAGTCTATATCGAAGTCTAAGTACTGTACTTGTTCTGTTACTATCAAGGTGGACTTGTCCAGGTTCACCATGAATCCCAGAGACTCTAGTAAATGTATCATCTGAGTATGTACCTTTGAAGTTACTGTCAAAAATAGAAGGATGTCATCCAGACAAATGCTACACCTGATCTCCTGGGCTCCCACGTGAGCCATAACTGGTTTGAGGAGCTTGGTGAAACACCATGGGGCAGAGCTCAAACCGAATGCCAAGCATGTGAACTGCGTTGGACAGCCTTTCCAGAGTAAGCGCAGGAATTGTTGGTTTTCCAGATGCACAAGCACAGACAGCTTTGAGTGCTTGAGATCCAGTCATATTATAAAGCATATCTCTCAATAGATGGATTCCCTCCATCTTGAAGTGTCTATATTGAGCATGTATGTGGGGGCGCCTGAGAGTCACTTGTATATGGAGTAGTGAGGGGGTTCATTCCAGCATAAACCCTAGAATACCCTAATAGATATAGGTGGCTCACCCCAAGCTAGCAGTGGTTATGTACAGCCCACTTACATTAAAGATAGGCCGAACTGCAGGGAATGTGTATAATAAAATGGCACCTAGAATTAGTGCACAATTCATGCCCTGGCAAAATATCAGGCGCAACTAATGTGGTACTGTATTATGGCACAAACCAAGGCATTTCCAAACTTAGGAGGATGAAAATCCACTAGAGAATCATACCGGCCAAGTCCAGAGGGGGAAATAAATTGTAGTCAAGTGTGAAAACAATGCATAGATAATACCCTGTCAATCAAGCCCCAAGGCGAAGAGCACTGAAGGGTCATGAAAAATGGCAAGTGAGGTGAATAAATGGGAAATAGAAAAGACAGAGACCAAATTAATTTAAGCAATATACACATATAGGTAACATAAAATTGAAGGAATGCAGTAAGGAAGCTAATATTCTGACCTGTAGCTGTATCTGCAAAGACAGAGGATGTTCTTCCTGTGGGGAGGTCTTATATAAACTCCCATTGTTTCTGATTGATTGTTATATACTTGTCATTGCTGCTAATGAGTTGCAGTAAAGAAAGTTAGGCAAAATATGAAGCCCCCTGTCATGAAATACATTTTTCACTTTTGAACAAAAAGAATAGATTTGTTAACACATTTTGGACAAATTGAAAACCAGAACATTTTTGTAATGAATGAACAAAATTAATATTCTTTTCCGTTCCACAAGACACTTCTTTCAGTTGCCATGACAATAATTTACTCTTAGCACTTATGCCATTTGCTGGGCTGTCTCAACATGGAAAAGCCATATATATATACATAAATATGACTATATATATAAAGAGGGATAAATGTGCGACAAAATATTACAGATAATATTTTGTAAAAATATTAAAAATATTAATATTACAAATATGAATGATTAATATGAATATTAATATTGCTATATTAATTATTATGATCACACATTTTTTTAATTTAAAAATATACCTACTGTTTTGTGTCTCATCCTAAATTCTTGCAGTTCAACTCAATTTTATCCTAATACAATGTAACATGCAATAGCTATATTACTTAAAAAACAAAATTATTGTGACAACAACAATCTATACAATAGTAATATAATCAGTGATTATACAACATGTAACAATGAAAATAGTTGCAAACATGTTACAATATAATTTCTAGAGCAATGTGGATAATGAGCAATGTAGTTACTGTCACAAAGAATTTATCACCAACGAATGCAATAACTCAACATAACATATTGCATTAACATTTAATACTCTTCAACATAATATGAAAAGGTATGACATTATAATATTCCTTGCAATATAAATGCATGAATCACATTTGCTGCTTCTACAAAGTATCAATTACTTGTTTAGACAATCTCAATAATAACCAACTATTTCCCGAAAATGGTTGCAAACCAAACTAACTTTTTCCAATCCACTCAGCAACTAAACTCTCTCAGTTTGGAATTGCTAATTGACAATATGCAAAGAAAATGTTAATTACAATAACTCACTATATTGGTATAACATAATATTTTGTATAACAGATTAATAAAATAATAATCTCAGCAAGTATTCGGTAGAACTACTTGGAAAAATGTAAGTAACCTCTGTATCTACACAAAGCAATTTCAACAGGTATTTACAAGATAATAGGTTTTGATTAAAATCTGAATTTCAGCAAATGAATGTATCAATAATTACAGGATAATACCTTAAGATTTATTGCATATTTTCAATCTGAGCTGCAGACACAGATTTTAAATATGCAGAGACTACTTTCCCAAAAATAAATAATTATTTGAAATGTTGAAACAGATCATGTTCAAACTTATACAAAATATAAACATAATATAATTTACAATTACCACGTAGTTGCTCGTTTTCTTTGTCAATGAATAAGGAATAAAGATTTTTTTCAACATATTAAAATATAAAAAAATATGAAAACTTATATCATATATAAAAAATATCAATATATCTATAGCTTAAAAAGTTTAGAATTTTTTGCTAACATTAAATAATTTTAAAAGTTTATCCAAAGTATTTTTAGATAAGCTTTTCAAATGATTTAATATATTTTGATAAATTTGTAAAATAACTTTTTTCCAAGATATTAAAAGATCAAAAACTATATTTGAAAAGGTACATTTGTGGGGTTCACAAACCTTGTCTTAGAGTTTTATGCAAATTACATAAATTATATAATAAGCTTTTTAATTCCACACACATTAAAAAAAATGTTAACTGCAATGTTAATGCTTAACGATATCATACATAAAAAATATCAAAGTATTAAAATGTTTTTCATAACAATATATAATTGGAAAAATATAGACAATTGAAATATTAAATAATTTCAAGCTTATACATTTCAAGCTTATACAAAAATATTACACTTGTAATAATGTTGAACCTGAAAATATGAGACAATATAAGTCAATAAAATGTAACAAAAGTATATACATATGGTTGAAAAGCTTGCAACAATGATTGGTAAGTAGCCAAAATGGATGCTTTCAGTTCTAGGATGGTGCGTTGTGGATTTCTACATTTAGTTTTATTTTTCAGATCTTACAAACGCAAATTTGTAAATTTCCAGTCCCCTAAAGTGCTTCAGGTAAAGTGCTAAAGTGCTTTGGGGGTTAACTGTATGTCCTGGCCTGCTTATTTTATAAAATTACTGATTTCAAGAGAAATCAGCCTTTCCATAAATCACTTTAGTGGCACCTCTTGGTCCTCAAACAGAAAGCCAGGAGACCTTTTGAGCACGCGCGGCTGGCGACGGGGGAGACCTAATGAGCATGCGCGGCAATGCTGCACATGCACATTAGACCTCCCCATAGGAAAGCAGTGAATAATGCTTTCAATGCTTTCCTATGGGGATTTCAGCGACGCCATAGCGTGAGGACATCCAGCGACGTTATAACACACTTTTCGTGTTCTATGAACATGGAAGTGTCTTCTAGTGGCTGTCTAGTTGACAGACACTAGAGAAGGACTTAACCCTTCAAGGTTAATATTGCAGTTTATGAAAATTGCAATAATTACACTTGCAGAGTTAAGGGTAACGTGAGTTGGCACCCTGACCACTCCAATGGGCTGAGGTGGACTGGGTGTCTGGAGTGTCCTTTTCATGCGGAAGTGAGTGATTCTTATAGAGAAGCATTATTTTCAATTCTTGTCTAATAGAAGCAGTGTTCATGTGTCCCAGGGCTTCTCTATCCATACATACAGAGAGATTGTGCTTGTTACATGTCATTTTCATGTTTTCAATTCCATGGAGTAAAGAATTCTAATTCAAATTTTTGACAATCAGTCTAGCGGTGATCATCTTGGGGAACAAATCAGGAGAAAATTTACAGTCTCGTCATTTACTGTGTTTAATAAACTATTGCCAATAAGTATCTGTGTCTTCTATTTGCAGGCATGCAGGATTTTAATTATCTGAGCAGTAACTGTTTTGAAATCACAGTTGAGCTTAGCTGTGACAAGTTCCCTCCTGAAGAAATGCTTAAAACATACTGGGAGCAAAACAAAGATTCTCTTGTGAATTACATAGAGCAGGTAATATACATAACTTCTGAAGTAAAGAAATATTTTTCGTCTGTGTTTCTTTTTCAAGATTTATTACAGGAGTGGACCATTTAAATGAGGAAATATTAACTGTTGAGTCAACACATCCCCATAAGTCTACAGAACTGTTTTCCCCCCACACAGAAATAACAGCATAGAGCACTGCAGCTATATGACCTCTTGGTACAGACATGCTGACGAAGCTCTCAATAGCCCATCTGACATCTTCATTCACTTCATATCTATATATATATATATATATATATATATATATATATATATATATATATATATATGCACATGTACAAAAGACAGCTTTTGAGACATGTCCTAGATTAGACAGTGTAGTGTTAGAGAATCAGTTCATGCCCTCACATACTATTCTATTCATAATTGGTATTAACAGGTGGTTCGTTTATGATAAATTACTAGCTTCAAAATGTAGTTTATGTGTCAGAGCAGTTCTAATATCACCTAAGATATACTATGGCGTGACTGATTCTCCATTTTAATACAAGTACTCAAAGAACAGGAGACTAGATGAGTCAATAATTTTGAACCAAATACCCCAAAAGATTTGAGATGAGACAGTTCCCTGAGAGTGTTGAAATACATGTTTGCGTACCACCAGATAACTTCATGGACCTTTTTGTATGATGAGCACTATTACATTTAATCCTCCATAATGAACAATTCTGATCTGAATAACTAAGCCTGCTTAATTTCACATGTTGGCTTGATGAACAGCCATTAGACTTTGCTTACTTTAGCAATTCATGTATTTTTATATAGCTATATACTGTCTAATCGATTTACCTCTAGTGAACTGGAGAGTTTTGCCAATCTGATGAAAAGCTATCATAATTCAATGTTTGTGACTTGACCACAGATGGCTGGTGTTACACAACCATAAATACACAGAAATAAAAGTATATTTTTATTGCTCTCTATAAGTTTTGCAAACACTGTACCACTGTATTTTTGGAAATATGATTATAATGTTGTATTTCTAATTAATTTGCTTTTCAGGTCCACCGTGGTATCAAAGGCTTTGTCAAAGATCACCAGGGCAATCCAATTGCAAATGCTACAATATCTGTAGATGGCATTGACCACGATATTACCTCTGGTATGTATCAGAACTAGAAACACACACACAAAAAAAAAAGGAAAAAGGCACTAAAATATGTCTAAAAAAAATAAATAAATGAGTGAATTATACAAAAATTATCATAAAAATCTATATATATCAAAACAAAAGCTGCACCTATACAGTGTAGTAACCCATATAAAATACACTCCTAAGAAGAAGAAAAAAAAGAACAGAAAAAAGAACAGAAAAAAGGTGCACTATATCTTTAAAACAATATTACAAACAAATAAGCAACTAAAGTGCAGCAAGTATAGAGTGCAAAAAAAGTGTGTATTTGTTTAAAGTGCAAACATTTTTAAACAATATATTGTGAAAAATGTGTGCAAAAATACAGTGCCTTGTAAAAGTATTCACCCTCTTGACTTTTTACCTATTTTGTTACATTACAGCCTTAAGTTCAATGTTTTATTAATCTGAATTTTATGTGATGGATCAGAACACAATAGTCTAAGTTGGTGAAGTTAAATGAGAAAAATATATACATACAAATATTTAGAAATAGAAAACAGAAAATTGGCATGTGCATATGTATTCACCCCCTTTGTTATGAAGCCCATAAAAAGCTCTGGTGCAACCAATTACCTTCAGAAGTATGTTTAATCAGCCACAAAGTGTCCAAATTAAGTAAACACTTACTCTGAATAACTTACATATTTGTTTGTAATATTGTTTTAAATGTAAAGCACACTTTTTTTTCGATTCGTTTTTTTTTAATGTATCTTGTTTTTTTTCTAACAGCTCCTCCTGTTTCCCTCTTTTGATCTGTAAACCAAAGGGGAGAAACTGCATCTATAAGTGTGTTGTAAAACATATACATAATGTTTATGCATATGTTGGTATGTATATATAATGTCAAATATGGAAAGGCAGGGAGGGCTTAATTAATGAAGAGAGGAAGTGGATAATGAGCTTCCCCTTGCAGGCTATGCACACTACGCATGTCTGTTGCCAGAGCACAACAGAATATGTACAGAATTGACATCAGACTTTATTAGACTCAAGGTTTGAGCAATGTTTCTGCAATGGTAATGAACATTTATAATAGATTTTCAAAGGCTCAAACGCAGAGCCGTAACATTGGTTTTATATTGAGTCCTATAAAGTCTGCTCATAAGCACGAGTTACATTATGTTTAGCCATGCACAAGTCTAATCAGAACACAAGTAACCTGCCATTGAGAATGCAAAGAGATTAAGCCAGCAGGAACTCACTCAGCGGGTGTGTAGAGCAGAGATTTCCATCTTATAACTGCATCAATTATAATAAATAAATAAATGTTCCATCACTCTGGATTTGGTGAAGGATACATCCTTAATTCCCCACGCAGGGAACTATAGCAACTCTTCTCCCTCACTGAGGTCTTTGTCATGTCCCCGATAAGTGTGAAAATGTTCTCTATGTGTGGTGAATTAATAAAGAGAGTGTGCGTCATACTATAGCAAAATAAAGTACAAATGTTAACAAGTATATTTTAAAAAAATGTAACATTTGAGTTATTTAAGTATTTGTGTTTCATGGTTTTCCATTAACACATTATGTCATCACAATGCACCCCATATTATTTGATGCACTCTGTGTGTAATGGGAACACTCAAAAATGCTCCATCATTTGTTTCCTTGTTTGTGAACTCTGCTTAATACCATTTCTTGCTGTAGTTGCTCTATAAGGAACCATTAAATATTTCCCAATAATAAATGGACTTTTAAATAAAAAATACCCTCACAGGAAAGAAGTGTAGGATTGATTCGAAAGTTTAGTAAATAGATCTGAATAAAATCTATGCAATGATTGTGGACTGAGGATCTTGTTGGGTGACCAAAGATGTGTTGGTTGATAATCTCCAATGAGCTAGTCAACCAGAGGCAGTGATTGACTAGCTCAGTAGTCTCTTATATGTATACAAATGAAGAATTGATACACAGAACAATTCGAAAACAAAGCAATAACTTACCTGAGCAGGACGTACAGCTTTTGGTATTCCAACAATTCATACTTTTATTCAACAAAGTGTAAATTATTGGAAATTCAAGGTTATTTCAAAACGAAGATCATTCTTTAAGCCAAAATAGTCAAATTAAAATGATAGCGGACTTGGAGACTTTTTCAGAAATTAGTTATAAAAAATTGACTTTGAATTTGCTTTGAATTTCAACAATTCATTTTAGTGAATAACCCTATAAGTGTGAAATGATCTCTCTGGCAAGACATGTTCAATGAATAACTACTCCTTACTTTTCATTCAAAGTCTGTAAGAAGTAACAAGTGTCAATAAATAAATACATATATACAAATGGGAGGGATGGGGGAAGGGATGATTATATAAAAGCAGTATTAACCGTCTTTACACTAACTGGACCATAAAGGGATGGGGACAAATAAATAAAGGCAAGCTAAAGTGTTTAGGGGTTTGGAGTGTTCCTTTAAAGAGAGAAAACCAGAAACTTGCTTTGATAGAACAAAAGTAGACAATATTGTAAAGTACAACAATATTACTAACTATAGTAATCTACATAATAACAATTATAAATATATATATTTATATAAAATGCAGCTTTAGGGCTACATTTTAATGTCCCTGGGAAAGTGTTTAAAGGGTAACTGTAACACTTCTTCATCAATTCTGTTTTTTGATGTTAAGATGTTAAGTAATTGGTTAAGTAATTGGTATTACTTTTAGGTCTCCCCTGTTGAAATCCTGTAAAAATTGTTAAAACTTACCTTCAATCCACCAGGCACTGACTTTCCCCCTTCTGCTGACATCAACCAGGGGCCTAGCATTCTCCAATCACAGGCCTCTCCTAGAGATGCTTGTATTTGGACCCTTTCACCGGCTCAGAGTGCATGGGCTTGTTCTGGGCCGGTGAGGTTTGTGAAGGAGAGAGTAAGTGAAAGGACAGGGGAGGAAAATTTAAAAATAAAAACCAGCGCAAAACAAATGGGGGGAGACGGATAGGGCTTAATAAACTAAGGGAAGGAGTAGATAACAAGCTTGCCCTTGAGGCTCTGCAAGATAAGCACTTCTGCTGCCAGAGCACAACAGAAAATGCACAGAATTGACATGTGAGCCCAGAAAAAAGTTCTGGGTTGCCCAAGTTACACGAGCTGAGGTATAACTAGCCTCTGGCACACTAGTGCCAATATCTCTGTATGTGCTGTGTTTTAAAACTGGAACACTGCACTTATATACTCCGACCACCATGACCACTTCAAATCAGTGAGCTGGTCATCATGGTTGGAGTAACACTATGTAATATTATTATCATCTTATAAGGACGCCAAATATAATGTAAAATGTGAACATGTGATGGATAATAAAACATTTTTTTCCAATAACCTTCATAAATTTAATCCAAGATATAAAACCTAAGCCATGATCTATTCTGTGATTTCCCTGTTCTGTATGTAATGTTTACAATAGACACCCACATTGTATTCTACCAGTTACATGCAATAATAAAACATGGCAAAGTCATGGATTAAATTGATATAGTGATGTTATTTGGTTAAATATATCAAGTTTCATTTATTTCATCACACTAACAGATTTCCATTAGTATTCCATCTTAAGGTCAAGGACATTTATAATGTGATTACTATAATTCCTCAGCAAATAAAACACAGAACTGCAAAGTTCTGCTTTTAATTACTAAAAGAAACAAAGTCTTGTGAAATGTATTCCCTTTATAAAATCTAAATTATGACGGATGAATGTTTTATTTTACTTTTTTTTTCCTGTCTGAGTAGGTATATTACCTCACTGATGTTTATGCGAAAAAGTAAAGTAATGTTAATATAATATTATTAAACGAACAATATTTTGAGAGATGCACTTCATGTATCAAACCCCGATCCTTGATAATACAATCATTTGGTTATTTAGCATGTAATGTGTGTAATTAGGAAGCTATCTGGCTAGGAATGGCTACTGTACTCTATCGCTCGAAGACCTAAACAGGGGGTAATTAATTGACTCTTTCTTCTCTTACAAATCTGGAGGTGTACATCTGGGCATGGACATGCCCGCTTGTGATATAATGCAACGAGTATTGCTACTCTAGCAATATGGGTTACATTATAGATGTTATCCTTAGTTGAAGTAATTACTATCAAACTTACCCCCTAATGCTTTAAACATTTATAGAAGAAGAGTGACTTGTGTCTTGCGTATTGATGTCTTGAAGCAGTTCCGGATGTGATACCATGCTGGTTGTCTCATTTTTAAAGCTATTTACTGTTTGACACAAACACATGCCAGACACAACATTGGGGTCTATTCAGAAAAGTCTGACAGGAATTTCTGGTTAAAACTTGGTTTATATAGCTAACTTGAAAAACATTCTTAAAGTAAGGAAACCAAAATTGTCCGAACCATCCTGAAATTGGTCTGGGTCCATTTAAAAAGATGATCTTAGGTCTGATACTCCTGATGTTCTTTTCAACCCTACCAAATTCCCTTTCAAAGTTGATTAACGACTCAGACCTTTCAAATGTTTCAATTTCGTCTAGCATACCATGAGTGCATTTTATAATGTTATATTTAAAATAAAATACACTCTTTTGTTTTCTGTTTTTACCACAGCAAAGGATGGAGATTACTGGAGACTTCTTGCTCCTGGGAATTACAAAATCACTGCATCAGCTTCTGGGTATCTAGCTATAACCAAGAAAGTAGCTGTTCCCTATAGCCCTGCTGTAAAGGTAAGTAACAAATAGCTCCAAATAAGTCCTTCTTTACAAATAAAAAATGCACCACCCCCCAAAACAAACTATGGAGTGTCTGACATCCAGTACTGATAACTCATTGATAACGTGTTCTGACATTCAAATGGTATTATATGTGTTTTCAATGGAATCCAAATCCAAAAATATCTCAATCTTTTTTTTTCCTGCAGGTAAATATCAAATTATAGGTTGTAAGCCACCTTTAAATTAGTTGCTGACTTTTTTTTCATAATCTCCACCCAGAAATAGCGGTTTGCGTATTCGGTTCACTAAACTCAATTTGCAGTCACATTTTGAAATAAATCCTTATCTGCAATTTTATTACAGAGCAATTCAGCATTGGCTAAAAAACCCCCACCAAAAATAAGACCATAAACAGGGAAAGAGGGTGTTCCTACACAGTGTACAATTTGTAGATTTATTAAAAGCCAAACTGCTTATGAATTTGCTCAATTGGAGAGACATATTTCCCTTCCGATCTGTATGTTGGCTGCTTGGACAAACTGTTAAAATAAAAATGATTTGTTCTCACTTTTGTTTTCAATAATATAGATCGACTTTGATCTGGAGTCTTTATCAGAAAGGAAAGAAGAAGAAAAAGAACAATTGATTGAATGGTGGAAGATGATGTCCCAGACCTTAAATTTTTGAGAAAAGCTCTGCTGACATTACTTTAATTATATATTGAATTGATTTGCGATAATGTGGACCAGAAACATAGGAAGGTGTGCTAACAAATATATATATATTGTATGTACTTTTATGTATATAAATATATATAGTACATGTGTATGAATATACAGTTACACACATTCCTACAGGTATTGGATAATATGTAATTTTGAACATCCAGTGTATGTAAACCTTGTGTTTACCAGTTTGGATAGAAACCTGCAGTCTATAGAACTGGTAGACTTTGAGTTAGAGATAAAGTAGAACTTGGCACAATTAATACTGTGACAAAATGGCAAACATTTTACATTTTATACATAATTAAGAATTACAAATGAAGAAATTCAAGAAAAAAAAATGCAATATTCTGTGTTGAAGCCATGTGTCATAGAGCGTATTTTAGTTTATAAAATGGTATAGCACAGTTCTTGCCAAAAGATATCTTGGCAGTATATATGTAGAAATAATGCCAATTAAAACTGTAGTGGTATAAATATATTGCCATTATTTCTTATTTTCTTAGGTTCAGCTATAACTGAATGTGATTTGCATTTTAATGTTTACATTACAAATATGCTTATATTATAAGATTAAACATTTTGTCTCGTGTCATACTACTTACAGAATCAAGCAACTATCCTATGAAAAGTGACCAATCTAATATTCTTTACTAGAATTCGGCTTTCAAAATTCTTGCTCCCATTAACCCTTTCATGCTCTCACTGGTGATCCATGTATTGCTGTCATGTGTTTCTCATCCCTCTACCACTCAAAATGTTAATCTAAAATTTGTGGTTTTCTAGTTGAAGTTAACAACTACAATGCAACATTTAGGTTGGCCCAACTTTTCCAGTATCCTCTTACCACCGTTAAAACCCAGTCCTGATATTTATATTGTTAGTAAGTCATGCATACTGATATTTATTCCACATCTCTTTTATTTTGTGGTGTTGTGCTGATTATTATAATAAAAAAAAAACTGTTGCAAGTAAGTTGTGAAACAAAAGTCAGTTTTGAAACAAAGACCTAAAAATGAATGGATTAATGAAATGTGAATAAGGATGTGCAAAGATAATTTAAACATTTCAAAAGGTCACCATCAACGTTACATAATTCCAAAAGTAATGATACAGAGAGCACTATGAGCCCACTCTTATCTATGAGAATGGCTTAGAACTGGGGCAGTTTCTAAGTTTGTCTCTCAGAGTTTAGAATGCACTGAGCTTTGAGATCCAAGCCTTGTATCTTAAATAGATACTATAGGCTTCAAAACAACGTTAGCAGCCTTGGTATATAGATCATGCCCCTGCGGTCTCACTGCTAAATTCTCTACCATTTAGGAGTTAAATCACTTTATTTATACAGCCCTAGTTACACCTCCCTGCATATGACTTGCCCAGCCTTCCAGAACACTTCCTAAAAAGGAACCAAGATATTCTAGATTCCATTATTGCACAATCCATGTAATCTAAAATTTCTGATAATTTCTGATCTACCTCTCTGTTAATAGTTTTCTAGACCCTGTAGGAGCCTCTTGTGTGTGATTAAAGTTCAAATTACAGAGAAGGAGATAACATTTCTAAAGTTAACATCTGGATGAAAATGAAACCATTTTGTTCATGCAGGTTGTGTCAATCATAGCCAAGGGAGGCGTGGCTAGGGCTGCATAAACAGAAACAAAAGTTGTTTAACCCCTTAACGCCGTTACAGCGTTCTATGCCGTCCCACATTTGATGGGCTTTAAAGCCACTGTAGCGACATAGAAAGCCGTAATGGCTTTTAGCCTCAGGAGCTCGGAGGTACTTACCTCCACCGCGATCCTCTTCGGGAGGATTGCCTGACAAAGAGCGATCACATGGCCCCCTATAGCTGGCTGTGGTTCTGCCAGCAGGGGGACTGTCTGAAATGACAGACAGTCCCCCTGCTGGTGGGGAGGTGTAAAAAAAAATAAAATAAATATGTTTAAAATTAATTAAAAGTATTTATGCATATATATAAAATACATTTTATATATATAATATATATACATCTTATATATATGTAACGTCATACGTAGTGTATTTTAATGTTAATATAAGTAAATATATTAGTAAAAAATATACACTTAGAATGATGTTACATAAATACAAGGTATTCTAACTGTATTTTGTTATTAATATATATATATATATATATATATATATATATATAGGTAACAAAATACACTTAGAATGACATTCTATATATATCTATCTATATATAAAATACAAATAACTGCAAATATTTATGTATAGATAAATATATATATTTACATAAATAACTACATAAGGAAACACATAGAATTTAAATACACACACATATATATATATTAAAATTATACGTGTATATTTAAGTAATCTTTTAACATAATTATTTAATTTAATTAATTAAAATGTGATTGACGTGCCTGACAACCCAGGCAGAAAGTGCAGAGAATGTTTTTGCACGTACTGTATTTAGCCCTGTATCTTTCCAAGACACCATAAAACCTGTACATGCGGGGTACTGTTTTACTCGGGAGACTTTGCTGAACACAAATATTAGTGTTTCAAAATTGTAACTTGTATTACAATGATGATATATTTAGTAAAAGTGAAGTGTTTTGCATTTTTCACACATGAACGGCACTTTTACTGACTATATGATTGTTGTAATATGTTTTACTGTTTTGAAACACTTGTGTTTGTGTTCAGTGAAGTCTCCCAAGTATAACAGTACCCCCTAAGTATGGTGTTTTGGAAAGTTAGAGAGTCAAATATAAAGCTTGCATTTCTCTTTTTTCACATTGAAATTTGCCAGATTGGTTACGTTGCCTTTGAGACCGTATGGTAGCCCAGGGATGAGAATTACCCCCATGATGGCATACCATTTGCAAAAGTAGACAACCCAAGGTATTACAAATGGGGTATGTCCAGTGATTTTTAGTAGCCACTTAGTCACAAACACTGGCCAAATATTAGTTTTTTGCTTTTTTTCACACAAAAAAACCAAATATGAACGCTAACTTTGGCCAGTGTTTGTGACTAGTGGCTACTAAAAAAGACTGGACATACCCCACTTGCAATACCTTGGGTTGTCTACTTTTGCAAATGGTATGCCATCATGGGGTAATTCTCATTCCTGGGCTACCACACGGTCTCAAAGATAACATTACTAATCTGGCAAATTTCAATTTGAAAATCTGAAAAATGGAATGTGCTATATCTGACCCTGTAACTTTCCAAAACACCATAAAAACTGTTAATGGGGCTGCTGTTGTACTCGTGAGATTTTGCGGAATCCAAATATGTGTTTTTTTTGCAGTTAAAGCTAACAGTATTATGACATTTACAGCTAAAATGTCTACAAATGTTTTTCATATCTTAATTTTTCACAGTTTTTTATTTTATTCATAAAAAATTATGTTTCAATTATGAATAGATCATGAGAAATTAAAGTCCAGTTTCACCTGAACAAAATTATAATAAGTGTGGGTGCACTTAATATGAAAGAGATGGATTACGGTTGAACAGACATACAGCTCAAATTCCAGTTTTTTTTTACATTTTGTTTTGTACTATTGACTCCGTCCTGAAGGGGTTAACTAATAAATGACAGAGAATTGAGCAGTGAGGTTGCAGGGGCATGGACTATACACAAAAACTGCTTCATTAAGCTAAAGTTGTTTTAATGCCGATAGTATACCTTTAAAAGTGTAGAACATGACTTTTCTAATAGCTGCATATAGACCGATTCATGAAATAGTGAGCTTTGCTGTGTGTAAACCAATGGCATCTGTAAGCACACCCCCTAAAGGGTGCATTATAGGAACTCTTGAAGGTATTTTCTGTAAAATCTGTTAAGTCTCTTTTTTTATGTTTCATGGAAATCCTACAACTGTGTATGTTGGTTGTTTTGCAAGAGGTTTTTGCAAAAGCAGCATGTGTCTGGCAGCACACAACCCCAACAGGTTTATTTTTCTGCATGAAGATCTGTCATCAATGATAGCTGCTTCCTGAACACCCATGGAATCCAAGGCAGAGTAATGCAACGCAAAACAAGCCAAGAATGCATCAACATTCTAACAGACATGCAAGGGCTTAAATAGAGTGTATGGAGTGTAACAGTGTACATTTTGAAACATAAAGTTATGTAAATATACAAACACTATCAAACAGCTACTTAAAGGGTTACTTCAAGTACCATAACAACTTCAATGTTTTGAAGTAGTCATGGTGTTTGGAGTTTGTATGTGCAGTGTTTTAATATGAAACATTGCACATACAGAGATATATTTTACATGGCTACTGTAATTGTAATGCCACCTCTAGCAGCATCATTAGTACATTATTAGCCAGCCAAGAAGAAGACTTATGGGCTGGCTAATGTCAATCCTGTGCATATTTCATTGCACCAACGTTCATTAATTAGCTGAGAGCAAAGATCTGATATTTTTAGCCAGTGAATGAGTGATGGATCAGCATCTGGTACCGATAATTCTACAAAAGGCAGATGCTTGTCAATATGTTATGACCCTTACCAGAGTACTCCTCGCATCATAGTAACCAATTAGAGTAACCATTTAAATACGTTATAACATATGTTTACCAGCAATTACATCAGAGAGTTAAATAAAATAAATTGCAAAACTATTTATCTACTTGCAACATCAAAATGACAAAGCAGTAACACATTGTAGGATGCTGTGTGTGGAAGTGTAGCCAGTGCTAGAAATGGACAAACTATAAAAATGAGAAATGCATTACTAATTCTCATCATTATTTATAAATACCATTCTGCTAGCACAATGTACAGCAAAAATAACTATAATATACAGAACTTGTGGTACGTTTAACAGAGTCCATTTAATTATAGCACTGCCCTAAATGGTAAAACTCCTAATGTTATAACGTTTGGTGGGGGAAATTAGAAGACTAGCTTTGTTTAATGAAAGTCACATTTGGTTTTTATAACATAAACTCCTCTTGCATTAGGTAGAGGGTCTTTGTAAGTGATATGGATTATGGCTGTTTTGGTTTTTTTTGGAACAGAATTGAAATTCATCTTTTGCTGGTGGAAAAAATTAAAGAAAAAAACTGTACCTCACACTGCAGGGATCACAAAAATGATCAGTGGTATACTGTTATAGGACTGTCATGATAACAAGAGACCCGTCTAATTTTAGTTCTAAAGGGGTTAAAATGCATGCTCAATATTATTATTTCTGCTATTAGGAAAATGTTGGCCCATTTGCATTTGGTTGCTGGCTAAATAGATACTGGAAGACAGTATGATCCTCATTCATGAATTTAAAGTATGGTATCATTTGTTCACATGTAGCATTTTATTTTAGACAATATTTGCAAGTCCACCATCCATACAACTTGATATGCCTTTCCACTGTCTTGTGTGCTGTAATATCACTGTAAGTGTGGTGAAACCAGCCTCGCCACTGTCCACTGGAGGAGCCTGGTTGCTCGCCTGCTCCCTTTAGACTATGGCCCGGCATTTAAAAACCTTTTATTTTCCATGCAGAAAAGCATATTCATGCCTTTCTGCTGGGGTGTTCTGTAGATCCAATCTACCGAACAAAGTACCGAACAATCGGCCACCTGGGAACTGGAATGTGCCGTCGATTGAATTGGCCTTTGTTCGTCTGCCGAACACGTGGCAGCGGCCATTTTTACTCCCGAACGGCCAGCGGTGTTCAGCGCCCAAACTGGAACTGAAAATGGACACTTATTTGTGAAAACACCGCTGAGCCGCCAGCCTCCCTACCTCTGCATTCGGTAGTGGAACCGAATCACTGTTCATTCGTTAGTTTGACCGTATGAACAGCATCACGCCAGATAGCCATGCCATGGAGCCTATTCGTGTAATGAAAGACTTTGGGAAAGACTTTGGCTCCATGGCAATTGAACTGTATGTATGTGATCTGAGCGCCATTCGGTAGTAATGTGCGCTCAGATCTAAGCTATCTGGGGATATGTAGAATGTGTGTGTTTTGTGTGATAAAGGTAACCGTGTGTAATTTTAAGTCTTTTTACTAAAATGTATGTAATGGAGTTTTGCCTCTGTCCTTGGAGATAATTGGATTACTTCCCAATTATCTCCAGGCCAGAGAGGAGGGATTGTGATGCATTGTGGGATTGTTGAAATGTGTAAGTCTGTGATTGGTCCTTTTACCCTTTGTGTCCCAGTCTCCCATCTGGTCCCCTAGGGGAGTGTCCACCAGGTTGGAGACCTGTATAAAAGCCAGGCAGTTAGCCCCAGTAAACCAGATTATGCTTGACCCTCAAAACGAAGTGTCGTCTCGTTATTGGGGGAATTGGATTGTATGCCGATTGCCAGGAGTGTAAACTGAGGGTAGGCTTTTCCTGTTCGGCTGTTTCCAGTATTCGTGGGTTTCCTGTTGGGGAGTTGGTGAATTTGTGTAGTTTGCAGTTCGGGAGATGGGTGCTTACAGTAGCTGTCGGTGCATCTGGAAAGGGGAATATCGCCTAAACGTTTTTTAACCTCTTATGTGTAAAACGGTCCGTTACAGTAAGCTATTTTAGAAATGGACATAGCAACATTGCTAGGTACTGTTTATATTTATTGGTGAACGTTATATCTCTTGGTGTCTTGTATTAGCTATTAGCAATACAATCTCCATTTAATTATGCTTGAAAGAGTATTGGTCCTGATCCACTATCTGATTTCCTGCTATTCCACAATGGATAATTACTTAGTTAGGGACACCAGGAATTATCATAATAGATTATGTTGTTATAAATCCATTAACATTGCATTCATATTGGACATTTTAATGATTACATCAGCCAATGGCATTTCATCTAAAGGATTTTGGCGCTGCAAATCCATAAGGTTTAGATTTCAACGTAACGTACTATGAAGTGTAGTAGTCTATGAAAGCATTTACATTATATTTAGTTAAACCCAATTATTATTTACTGTGACAATAATTATGTTTAATAATGAAATGTATTTTCGTGTCAGAGTTGTCTTACTGATATGTTTCCTTCAAAGAGACTGTATGATAAAATTTGCCTAATTACTCTATGTAATTTTCAACAACCTTTATATGTTTCAATCTTAATTATAAAGCAACTGTTCAAATAGTAATTGAAAATATCCTATAATATTTTTCATTTAATAGCGATAAGGAGTAAGCATTCTGTTATGTTATCAAGATAACTGGATTGAATGATCAATACATAAATATACCTGATTTTTTTTTTTGAGAAAACGTTTGCCTGGGTTGTTTGGGGTTTGTGTTACTCAACTAATTTCTGGGATTTACAGGACAGAAATCAACCCTCCATCTTCGATTACTAAGGCAACATTTACACACAACAAAAAAAAGTTGGAGGAAGTCACAGCATTGTGCTATAAACAATTTGTGGAATTAATCTGTGCCTTTGGGAAATAAAACTGGGAACTATTAACAGTAAATGGAACATTTGTGCATTGTAAATGCTGAAGAATTGAAACCAGAACAAACATATGAGCAGCTGGAAAGAAAACTCAATCATCATCTGATTCCTTGAATAATTCTTTAAAGAAAAATTACCACAATGCCCCCGTACCCTCTAAAAAAAAATCACCTGGGCAATAAAGATGCAAAATTGGTGGGGAAGACTGCATCTATGTACTGCAGTGTGGCAGTATATCCATTTAAAAAAAAAAAACAATATGAGATTGCATATATTTGGTCTAAAAAGTATTTTTTCCTGTTTTGGAACTTAATTTATCCTGTTTCACAGAAAAACATTTATTAAAGTTTTTTACTCTGTAATGGGTGGATAAAGTAATGCCCTAAACCAGGGGTCCTCAAACTCCGGCCCCCCAGTTGTTGCTGAACTACAACACCAATGATTTTTTGAATCACATAGATAGTCAGAGAATCATGGGAGTTGTAGTTCAGCAACATCTGTGAGGCCGGAGTTTGAGGACCCCTGCTCTAAACATTAAGTTTTAGTCTAATTAAAAACCAGTTTCTTCCAACTTCATATTAGATTATATTTATTAGGGAAAGGCCATCAAATGTAATTGGCAATCGTTCTAAATAAATATAAAATATTTTTCCCAAATACTCAAGTTCATTTTTCCATAGCTGGGAGAAAATGCAAGTCCTAAAACCATGCCCTTAAGTTGCACATGAAACATTTACTGTAACAAGAAATAATATATATATATATATATATATATATATATATATATATATATATATTTTATTCTTTATGTTTGCTCTACTCACAAGCATGAAAGAACTAATGCAGGAAGAGTAAAATAACATTACAGTAAACATTTTTGAATGCATGAATATACACAGTGAGAGACATATGTAACGTCCTGTGTAAGGGGTCCGTGAGTAGAGGGTTTTTAATGGGTGTGCTAGATGGGTCTTCCCTGATAAGTTTTGATAACCGACCTTATGTTGGATAGCTGTTGGGTAGATCCCTAGGGGACCATGTAGGGTCAGTTATTGCTGTGGGAGAATAGGGTGGGTCGTAGGGTGAACTACCGTTTGGGTGGCATCACTATTTGATAGCACCAGTTGTTAGGCTAGGATGCAGCGTGAACAAGAGGGGAAGCAAGTGGTAACCGGTCCTTGAGGTGAGCCTTGGGACACCCCCGGGTATAGCTTGACTAGGTTAAGGTTGCTTGCAGTTAGAGGGGTTGTGGGGAGGTTAGTAGGCTTGGGCTGTGGGTCTTAGTGCCTGCTGATGATTTGGGCCTTAGAACGGGATGTAAATTATAATAAAAAATATATAAAAAAGAAAAACTGAAATGTCTAACAGAAAGAAAAGTCAACTTCAAATCGCAATGGTTCGTGATCCTGGGTTGGAGAGAGGTTTGGTACAAGTGTCAGTCCACATTTCTCATGTGGTGATTACTGCATATGCTTTGGCTATGGTACGAAAGGTTTGCTTGTAGCCGGGTCTCAGTTGTTTGTAGCAGGGTTCGTCCCACTGGTTCCCGGTTGAGGCAGGGAGTTGTCAGAAAGTCCCAGCTGGCTCAGAAGGGTGTTCGCGGATTGGGTCACATCTCCTTGGAGAACTTTCAGCAACAACTCAACCATTGTCATTGTGTCCATCAACATCACCTGTACCTGCACTATCAACATTTCCTTTAGCATTAATTAACCAAGTGCTAGCTATCATTGCCACTGATGCAAATATACCTGCATCTTAACCAACCACAAGGCAAAGGGTGGTAGCTATTGTATCACACAAACGAATAACAGTTTGGGGTCACTTGCAGTGCCTACATGAAGGCTGACTTGCAAAGTGCAAATTGTGTTGCAATGAAGTCAGTAGGGGGTGAGTGAAGGGTCATCATATTAGTACTATTATGAATCTTACAATTGCCCACTGGCTTTCTCCTTCTTTTCTGGATAAATTCCCATTTTTCAACTTAAACTGACTCTTGTCCCCATTTTTCATACAGTATATACTCGAGTATAAGACGAATTTTTCGGCACATTTTTTGTGCTGAAAAACCCCCACTCGTCTTAAACTCGAGTCAAGGTCTGTATTATAAAACATAAAAAAGGTAAAAGCGCACACACACACCAAGGAGGTGGTTTACCTGACGTATAATAAATGGTAGGTATCTCCTCCTTATATACAGTAAGTATATTGAATATTGAATTGCCTATACAGAAAATATAAACATAAAACAAAACATAGTGTAATCTGTATATCATACACAGTAAGAATGGAAATTCTGAGTTAGAAACTGTCACATATTCATCCGCTTATAGAAATGTGGTTAATGACATTTACTGTTCACACAGGAAAAGTTGTGCCGAGCAGCAACCTAATCCACAGAAGGGTTAATGATGAGCAGTAATTGTGCAAATGAAACCTGGTGTCATGTATTCATCCGCTTAGAGAAAAGTGATTAATGACATTTACTGTCCACACAGGAAAAGTTGTGCCGAGCAGCAACCTAATCCACAGAAGGGTTAATGCTGAGCAGCAATTATGCAAATGAAACCTGGTAACTGACTTTGGGGTCAAAGGCCGGTTACAGCCTATCAGAACTAAAGGAGGGGTATTTAGGCCCAGTTCTCAGCCTGCTCAGTGCCCTGTCGTGGTTTCCCTTGTGGTTGTCTGAGAGCGCGTTCCTGTTTATAGTTTTCTACCTGGTTTTTGACTTTGGCTTTGTTTATTGACTTCTCTATATTCTGGTATCCTGACTCCTGGCTTTCCTCATCGCTGTGTCCCTTTCTGTGTTCCCTGACCTCGGCTAGTATTTTTGACTATTCTTTGTACGTTAAATCCGGCCATTCTAAGGACCGGTAATACGTTACTTATTTGTCATCCGTGCTGTACAGTTCTACGTGCTGGATCAAACAGTAATCCTGACATTACGACAGGGCCATAGATCCTGTAGAACTGTGTCAGCACATAGCTGCTTGTGAGAGGAAATTAGAGGAGAATGATCACCGCATGGATCAATTCACTCAGGCTTTAAGTACGCTTCTCGCTAGAATGGAGCATCTGCAGCCTGCAGCGTCTCCTCCTATAGCACCTCTACCCTGTGTACCTCCACCCACTGTTAATAGGACTCCTTGCATCTCCTTATCACCATCCCTACAGTTTGATGGCAATATTCAGGAATGCAGGGGTTTTCTTAATCAGGTGGAGTACCATTTTGAGGCCTCACCAGGGTCATTCCCCACGGACAGAGCAAGAATTGGTTATCTAATGAATCAATTAAAGGGCAAGGCCCTTGCCTGGGCTAATCCGTTGTGGGAGAGTAATCGGAGCATAGCTCATAATTACCAGGAATTCCTTGCCGAATTCAAGCTCACGTTTGAGCCATTGGGTAGAGAGGATGACGCCTCCACTGCCCTAATGCACATCAGACAAGGTAACCGGTCTATCTCGGATTATGCTATTGAATTCCGTACCTTAGCTTCCGAGGTAGACTGGACTAACAATGGGTTAATCTCAGCATTCAAAAAGGGTCTCTCAGAGACTATACTAGATGAGATAGCCGCTAAAGAATTACCTAAGAGTCTTAACGAATTTATTACGTTTGTCATGCATATTGATAATAGGTTAAGACTCAGAGAAGTCACCAGAAGCAAGACCAGACGTACGGCTATGTCCCTAGCACCTCAATTCTCTAAACCTGTTTTGTCTAACCTCCCTGTACAGTCCGAACCCGAACCTATGCAGTTGGGGGTCACTAGACTGTCAGAGGCCGAAAAACAGTATAGGAGAAGGGAGGGGTTATGCCTATATTGCGGTAGAAAGGGACATATGATAACTAATTGTCCAGTGCGTCCGGAAAACTTCCGCACCTAAGAACCTTAAGGGGACAGATCTTAGGTGTGATGGAGTTGTCCTCTAACAAAAACAAAAGTAGATTCCTCCTTGAGGTATCTATTTCCATTGATAACAAGAAGTTTTCTTGCAGTGCCCTAATGGACTCAGGTGCTGCTGGAAATTTTATTGATGTACAGTTTATTAGGGGTAATGAGATACCGGTCAGGGAGAGACCTACGCCGCTAGCTGTAGAGGCTATTGATGGTAGACCACTCACACAACCGCTTATAACCCACGAAACTGTCCCTATTACGATCTCCATTGGGGCCTCCCATAGGGAGGAGATGACGTTTCAGGTTATTACTTCTCCATCATGTCCTATCATATTAGGGTTTCCGTGGCTGAGTAAGCACAATCCCTATATTGACTGGGCTAATGGGGAGATATTAGAATGGGGTAAAGAGTGTATGGGGAGATGTATAAAACCAGTACTAAAGAGATTGGATACTATTGACCTTCCCACTACCACTCCCCAAACTCCTGGAGTTCCCATACAATACCGAGAACTTCAGGAGGTGTTTAACAAGGCTCAATCCGATGTATTGCCTCCCCACAGAGCATATGACTGTGCCATTAACCTGTTTCCAGGCGCTATGCCACCTAAGGGGGCAGTTTATGCCTTATCTCCCCAGGAGAGTAAAATAATGGAGGAATACATCAAAGAATCCTTGAGCAAAGGGCACATAAGAAAGTCATCCTCACCAGCTGGTGCAGGATTCTTTTTTGTTGAGAAAAAGGGTGGTGAGTTACGCCCTTGCATAGACTACAGGGCACTTAATAAAATCACTGTAAAAAATGCATACCCTATTCCACTCATTTCCGAA